ATCAAGTTAATTTTATTTAATTTTATTTTCTATATAGCGCCAGATCACAACAGAAGTCATTTAAGGTTACCTTTCCTATAGAACAGGTCTATACATTGTCCTTTTACTAAATAAACTAAATAGCCTTATGTTATTTATCTTATTTACACAACAGCTTGTCATTTTTGTCTCTGCATTTACAATTCTCCTCTGCTCTCTGTATCGCGCATGGTGGAGTTCCGCCCCGATGCGCGTGCACACACTGGTGAGCACACTCCCACCAGCGGACAGAGAGTGCACGTCGGGAAATATATCGCGTCAACCACCTGAAAAGCAGAAAAAATATCTGCATTTTTTAAATGCTCCCAGGATAGTGGTGATGGCAACACTCGCTCTCCTGCAGTGACAAAAGCTGCACACTTTGTGGATAATTGTCATAAAAAGAAATGTTCTGATATGTAGTTCAGTTGTTATATTGACTGCTGTCATTAAAAGAAACACATGAACACCATGAATCCCCCCCCCCCCACCTAGGGGAAACGCTGAGATGTATGAAAAATCACACGCAAATAATGAAATCATGTGCGCAAAGCCCTCCCCCAGCTCCTGACAGTAATAGTAAATTAGAACTCTAACAATAAACACTAAAACACTACCAACAATGTTCAAAACAGTCCAGTACAACAGGGGCAGTTGATGATGGGTGAGTGAGAGAAATGCCTTGTAAACTACCCTTCGAAAGGAATGTACCAGTTCCTGAAGTGTGTGAGGTGATTGGGAACAGGGCCGTAGCCAAGGTTTGAGAAAGTGGGGTCCGGGACCTGAGAGTGAGGGGGTTGGGGGGTGTGTCTTGTCAATCATGCATTGCATACAGGAGGCTTGTTTTCTGGGGAACAGGCAGTGTTAAATAAAAGTTCATAGTTTAGGTTACAGCAAGTTATGTGGAGCTATTATATGAATGTACCTTACTGAATTTATTTAGGTTTGTATCATAAGAACATTGCAAAGCAGTAATACTAAGGGTATGAATCATGTCATTTTAAGGTTATTTGTAACCATATATAAAGATAATGTTAAGGATTTCTTTCATTTTTAACACACCAGTACAAGCTAACATCAAATCCGCTTGTTTTGATATCCAAATTTGGCTCTGAAATGTTTCTGTGGACACTAATGCAGTGGTACCTCGGTTCTCGAACTTAATCCGTTCCAGACTCCGGATCGAATCCTAAAAAGTTCGAGTTCTGATCTAATTTTTCTCATAAGAAATAATGGAAAACCAATTAATTGGTTCCTGGCCCCCCAAAATTACACCTAAATATGTGTTGTTTTTTTAAGCATTTAAACACAAAATGAACAGGATAAAACAAGAAGAGCATTTTTTTCTTAATGGCTTCCAAAAGGATAAAGATCTTATCCGAACATTACCCCTGTCCTGCCCCGACCGTCCGCTCTTTCAGTGTGCCACGCCCCCTCTTTAACCTCGTGCGGGATCCCCATGTGATCAGCTGTTTCTGGTTGTTGTCATTAGTCCTCTATTAAGTCCGCGTTTCAGTTTGTTTCCCCAGTCCGGTCATTGGGTGCGTTCGACTTGCTTACAGCACTGGCTTAAAGCAACGCATTCTGATCCTGATGCAGTGCATTACGGTTAGATGCATTGTGATCTCTCACCCGGCTGCACAAACTGGAACCGCCTCCGTGACGACACACCTTTGCCCTTATTAGCTGAAGAGTTTAGTTACACGCATGACGTTTGTATCCCAGGCAGTTCCGATGCGTAATCTGCTATTTCTCCCGAATATCACGTAAAGCAGTGAGAACTGGTTTTCAGTTAATTTACCTGGTAAAATAAAGTTTAAATAAATGACATAAATGCTCTAATAGTACATGTAAGTTAGTGGTTTATTTATTGTTAGTTACTGTAATGTTGCGCTGCTTTATTTGGTTAATCGTCCAGTCTGTGAAGAAGGCATTCAAGTAAGAATTGCATTGTAGTATGACTCATTTCCTTGCGCGTACAATTTATATTAGGTTAGCATTCACGGTTCGACTTCTGATATTCAGATCGAGTTCTAGGTCAAACTGGTTTGTTCGACTTTCAAGAAATTCGAGTTCTAGTGAGTTCGAGAACCGAGGTACCACTGCACTGATATCGTCCCCTTCATAAGCTGTTTATTTTTTATTAATGGCGTTATGTGAAACGTTGGTTAGCATAATCTAGCCCATTAAGCATAACATGAAAGGAACCCAACCTTTAACAAGGCCAGAGTAGTCGAGCCTAGGCTTATATTTAACGTTTCGTACAATTATCTTTACTGTAGATGCTGTAGCAGGTCTCAGTTTTGTAATGTTTTTAACAGGGGATCATTGCTTTATCTTACTGAATGATAAGCTGCCTGCGTACCCTCCCTTACAAAGCTGCGTGATCACTCGACTGTGTATTTGCACTGCTTTCAGTGAAGTGTGATCATGTGGTTCCTGAGTCACGTATCCTCTATCATGCTGATTCTGAGTGCTCTCTCTCTCTCTCACTCACACTCTCACACACACACACACAGACAGAGAGAGCAGACACTATTAATAACACATTCAGACTGAATTAAGAATGCACTTGGCATTCTCAACTTGACATTCTCAACTGTTGATTAATTTTTTTTATTCAGATGAATATTTAGCTTCAAATTTTATTTTTAGTTCTTAAACAATACTACCAAGGTTTGGACCTTGATGACCTCATATCTGGCTATGGCCCTGATTGGGAGTGCTCCCAGATGAAGACCTACCCACTCAAGACAAACTCTCATACAAGCCGGCACAGGACAACACATACATCCAGATGGGAACTGTAGCTCAAGGTGATTGAGTTGTGATCCAACTGAGTGTGAGAGGCCTACGAACAAACAGATGGACGATCACGATCTTCCCGGTGTCTTTCATGTTCATTTTTAAAGGGCCTGCTTGCTCAGTATCTCTTTCCAGCAGCGTCTGCGCCCGCCGAAGCTGTCCAATAGCATTATACCACCAGGGCAGCTGGGAGATTTTTTAAAGTAATGTCACTTCAAGAGGGCAGCCCAGGAAAATTAATTTTTGCTTTGTGAGGAGAAATAGGTATATTTGCATATCGATTCAGATATGTTTTGTAATGTTTCGAGAGTTATGGCCAAGATCAAGACAAAATGCGCTCAAGACGAGGCCGAGATCAGGTCAAGCGGTCACGAGACCAAGACTGGATCTCAAGAAGTACAACTCTGATCTATATAAGGCTGTACTTTTAAATTCATTTTAATGGGTGGAAAGAGTTTGTTTTTGTGTCTACATCAGTCCAAATTCTTTTGTCACTTTTTGACACTGAAGTGCTGCCATCTATATAATTATGTCTTATGCTGCTCAGATTCGCAGAGCGGCCAATAGATAGGATGCCAGAAAACATACCTGCACACTATGGGCAATTTATAGATGAATGGATCTTTGGGCTGTGGGAGGAAGTCTGCACTACATGGGACAACTGTGCAAAGTGCTCACATACACTGTACTGTATCGTACAGGCAGTCCCCCGGCTATGGATGATATCCGTTTCCTAAGTCTGTCTTTAGGTACAAGTTGGAACAGGTACGCGTGGTTCTTATTTAACATCGGTTAGTCAGATGTTTGTTGTGGCATACAGTATATATTTTACTTTTCCTTGCATAAAAACTTAAATACTTTGAAATGTATTAAAACCTCATAATACAATAATAATAAAAGTAACTACCCTCTGCTATACTGTACCTAAAGCCGACGAACTGCTGAGCTGTGCAATGTTTTAATGAGCATCACAAAGTGATGTGTGTATGTTCGTTATTATAAACCACTGTATTGAACTCAAATTTTTAATACTCTGGGCTTTATGGCAGTCTGTTCTAAAGTATGAGTTGTCTGTAAATCTGACGTCTTGATCCGGGGACTCCTGCATATCAACTTAAGCTTGTAATGGAGTTTACAGGAATTTAAAAATATGTAAATAGTAAATATACAGTTCAATAGCGGTGGGTGGCCGTTTGGTGAAAAGAAAATGTGGAATCTTGTCAGCCCCTTTGTTTGGCCTTGTTGCTTTGCAGTTGTGGAGTGAGTGTCAATAAGAAAACAATCTGCAGCCCCCGATTTGAGTGAAGTCACCGCTGGGTTGCAGCTTATCGACTCCGAATTTCCCCAAGGGGGCCCCACCACCCCCTCCCATGTCCCTGGAAATCAATGCCAGCTGAATCAGACTGGGTCTCACCATGCCGTAATTGCAAACTGTTTTGGGTTTGGGGGGTGGGTGGGTGGTTGTGGCAGTCCTCCAGATTCAGTCTCAGCCCTCTGATTGAAAAGAGGAGCAGGTCGGGATTTCAGATCTCCGTCGCTTGCAGTTTAACATCGACGGCAGCCAGTGACATTTCATTTAGCTCGGAATAGTCCAGGAGCTGCCCCATGGAGATCTGAGACAGCTCCTCACCCCTGGTGTTTTATTACAGCTGCTCTGTCATTAATCCGCATCAAGGGCGCTTTCTCTGCTTTCGGACTGCTGTGTGGCTGTTGACAGTCAGGTGCTGAGTTGGAGATAGAAACTGTAGTTCTTCATTAAATCCTGATTGTATTTTAATATATGTCCATGACAAGTTACATACGGCGTGTGGCTCAGTAGGGTAGTGGGCTAGTAAACTGAAGGTTGCTGGTTCAGATCCTGTGCTTGATAGTGGGATTTCTCCATTGGGCCCTTGAGCAAGAGCCCCAATTGCTCCAGGGCCTGGCTGACCCCGCATTGGATAAAAGCATCTGCTTAATGAGCATAAATATACATTTATACAATAAATATACAAGCACATACTGCGGGGCACTTTCTGCAGCTGATGTAGAGACATTATGGAAATGCTCAATTCCCCCGGGTTCGCTTATTTAGAGGTTAACTATCAGTTCCTTTTATTGTAATTAATAAATTTTCAGGTCCCATGATTGAGCCCGGCACTGATTCCACTCACTTGCTGTGTGTGATTCTCTTGCAGTGCCTCTCAGCTTCAGCACCGGAGCCCTGCAGGAAGGCAGCTCACAGGTGAGAAACTCCATCACTGCTTATCTGTAAGCTTGTTACCAGAGGGACAGAAAGTTGGTATTTGCTTGCTCCCATGATTTGAGATTAATCTCCACAGCAATGTGAATTACAGTTTGTGTGCAGTGTGCAGATTAGAGGGATTCTTTAGCTCACTGCCTTGAACGTGGTTGTCGTTGTTTGTGGTTTTGTTTTTGTCTCTGCCTGTTATTAAAATATAATCAGAGATCTTCTGTAAATACTGTCACTGTTAACTTACAATGTATTTTTCTCATTAGCTATTAGCAAACTGGTAGAGAAGTGTCAGGGATTTTCGCAGTTATATGCTTTATTATTTTCAGGTGATACAGGGGAAAAAAACACATCTTAGTCACGTCTAATTCACTCAAGCATAATGTTTTCACTTCAAAGTGCTCGGCCTCGACAGATCCTCTTCTTCCCTTCCCCCCCTCGTGTTCCAGGCCCGAGAAGCGTTTTCATCAGCCTCCGCGGGATGAGATTAATGCTCGACCTTCCCAACCTTTGCAAGGCGAGCCCTCTGGCAACTCAGACGTGTGAAGAGCGCTTCTGCAGTTGTTCTGCGACATTAATGGTTTTCTAAAAGCAGCAGCTTAGCCGGTGTCCTTCGGGGAAGCTCTCCTTCCCGTTAGTAAATCTGTACGCCGTGATTCACGTTCAGCTGCTGACCGCAAACAGGCCTTCGAAAATGAGGAAACCTTCATAGGCGCTCTAGTCAGGCCTGGTGCTTTTCAAATCAATTGGCAGGAGACGGAGAAAAGGCTGCATGACGTATTTGGCCGGAATGTAGTGAGAAAATGCTGCTTGTCCCACTGGCAGAGAGAGAATGCGACCACAGGGGAACTGGGCACTGCTTCTGCCAATGGGAAGCCACTTTTAATGCCGAAATGCCTTTTTTTCTGCTCTGAGGTTAATTACCTCTAACGTGCTGCTGTGTCTTGTGCTTGGCATGGCTGCAAAACTGAGAGCCCACAGTAACGCAGGGCAAAGATGGTGAAACACAGAGGTCCCGGGTGGCTGCTGTATGTTGGTGCTGTAGGTAGTAGAGGCTGTGCTCAGCTATGCGGCGGTTCTTGCACAACTGACCATTTTCTCTAAGATCTACCTGGTAATGATATCAGCATTAAAATGCTTTTCTCATAGCTCCAGGGAGGCCAGGAACCGAAATGTCATTAGAAGAGAAATTGGGACATCTGTATCTGTAGCCGGGCTTTTCAGAAAACCTTTTCTTCACGGTTCTTTTTCTTGTTTCGAGCTGCCTTCCTCCACCTCCCCTGCCCTGTGTTGAGCGATGTGAGAGGCGCACTTCTGCGGCAGGTCACCCGCCCGCTATTACCAACCAGCTAAGATAATAGGAGTTTTAGGAAATTTCCATCTTATGAAGATTAGGAATATTTTCAATAAAAATCAGCCTGCAGAGTGGTCAGTTCTCAGTGGAAATTCCAGACATATCAAATAATGTGGCACAGTTGTGTATATTTCATAAAACCAAATTGAAGTATATGGGAAATACCTATGACCCCCTGTTACCCCCCCCCCCCAAAGTTTTTTTTGGGATAAGATTGTAATTTCACCATCCAGGCATGCGAGACATGGGCTCTGTGGCAGCAGAGTAAATTTGGAGATCGGGATATTAGCCGTGCTTCACATGACAAGACCCTGAAGGCCCAGAGCAGCTAAGTGAGTGCTGTCAGCAGGCTGCCCAGTAGGGGGCAATGGAAACTGGGTTTGGGAGCTGAGGCGGTGTGAGGACACACACACTGGCTCTCACCTAAACTGCAGCCATCCTGCCTGAAACGGCAGCGAATAGGGAGCAGACAAGGCCGCTTTGCTGCCTTTGTCAGAGAAAGAAACGCTAGGCGATCTTTCCTGTCTGTAACTACATTCTTTGCGGCATCCTTTAAACTTGCAAGAGCAGACCGGTCATGTTTTATTCGCTGCCACATTTGTTTCAGCCTTCCGGGAAAGCTGGAGCTCTTTGGAGCTGGTGATCTATTTTTTGTCAGGTACGATGGGCCGCTTGCTAAAGCCACCTGTCTGTTGGCATCCTGCTCGGTCTGGGCTTTGTCTGTGCAGTTGACAGTCAGATTGAGGATATTTGCAAACTCCGTAAGATCCTTGAGCTTTGCGACAAAAGCAGAGTAGCAAGTTCCAAAATCACCAGATGCTCGTTTGTGTAGTACCTTCCAAAATAGCCACATTAGCCTCCAGCTAGGTTTTTATTTATTAATTAATTTTTCTTTCAAAGGCCAAATTGTTGGAGGACAGTGTGGTGGCTTACCATCGCTGCCCTCGATTTCTGCTGTGGCCCACTGCTGTGTGGGTAGGGTCTATTGCCCGCTACCGTAGGAGTCCTCCCTCATCGATAGATGTGCCGTCAGTCTGATTTGGTCATTTGTCCTTATTGTGTGAATGTATATCTATGATAGGTTGGTGTCCCATCATTTCCCCAAATGCGCTCATTAATTACAGAGACTGCTGGGAATGGATGGAAGGGCCTTGCTTTGGCAGATGTGTATGGATGTGCTGCTTTCAGTGGGTATGGCTTTTCTGGATGTCTCGCAGCTGTCCCTCACACTCCTCTGGCTCTTAAATTATAAATAGACAGACTGTATGGGCTTTGGTTTTGCCCAGTGAGGTTCTGCATAACTACACAACTTGTTCCAAGATGGGTTTGATGGGAGGATGTGAAGAATGTTGTATTATAGAGAACGACGCATCATATGTTTATGAATTCGGGTTCTGGCCGTCTCTCATCTGTCCGGCGGCACCTTCAAAAGGCACCGGATCTGCATTCATGCCTGGTGTTGCGTGTTCGCTCAGGCTACAAAGACATGAGCTGCTGAGGTTTGTTCAGAGAAATCATCTGCTGTGCTGCCTTTTATTCCACGTCCCGTCACCACTCCCAGTGGATGCTTAGGTGCCCACTCCCCCTGCCACTGCCCCCCCCTCCCCCTGCCACTGCCCCCCCCTCCCCCTGCCACTGCCCCCCCTCCCCACACTCATGAAATGAACCACTCTTATTATTTATTTATTTATTTATTTTTGAAAAGTGCTTCTTTCTCAGTCTGGTTCTCACAACTGTTCTTAATTCACTTGAGTTTGTTCTATAATGAATTAAACTTTCTGAGTGTCTGATGTATTATGTAAGGGACCCTACAGTTTCTGCTCTCAGAGCTGAGATACCAGTTCACCTCAGTTGTATGTGTTTGGACCATTCGAGGAATCCAGAGGACCCCACAGACCCAACAGGAGTAGAACTTTCATAGCCCATCCACATCCCAAGAGGTGTGAAGTCACCTCACTGCCCAGCAGCTGTTCAATATTAACACCATTCTTATTAGCTGGTGGAACAGCCTGGTGTTTTTTGGCAGATCCAGGACACTCTGGAGGGATTTGTCTCGCACTTGGCTTGTGAATTCCCTGGAATCCCCTGGGAGGACCACAAGTTCATAGCTGGGGAAGATGGACAGTCTGGACAGGCCCATTCAACTTGTCACCATCACTGCTCTTGCAAAGTTGGATGGATGGATTTTTTATTTATTTATCTTTATTTTTAGCTGGATGCTTATTTAGTGACTGGAGAAGCAGGTAATTATTATCCAGTTAATTGGGGTAATGTCTTGTTTTTGACCTGCATTTAAGCATAAAATTTTAGCAAATTTCCCTGTAAGTATTTCTTTTTTGGCCACTACGTGCCATTCTTGCAGATCAGTCTATGTGGATGCATTCTCTGCAGGTCGTATTTAGGTTCTTTGTGGTTCGCAGTGAGAGATGGGCCACTCCACATCACCTCAATGTGGTCGTAGAGAGATGCATCCATTCCAAGCATGTAGCAGCACACAATGTCTCACTGGGGACACAATCGATGGCCTTAGTAGGAAACATGCATGCTGACACTGCACCTTATCCTGTGTCTTAATGGGTCCCCATTCTCATCTATTGTCTGTGGTGTCAACTGCAGGTGACAAAATCAGCCATTTGCTCATTTGCATATAATCCATACACACTCGTGGTAATTTAAGCAGCACTTAGAGTGCCAAAGCAATGTAATCAGTGGTTGTGTTCATTGACTGGAAAAATCCTCGTTTTGGGTTACCCCAACATTGATGGGTTACCCCAACATTGATTTAAATCTCACTCTGGTCGCAGTAAGACTTATTATGTATGTTCATACATACACATGTTCACACACAGAGAATTTTATGTCTGGGTGTCAATGCCTGTCATACAATAGATTCATACACAGTGGTGACATACAATGCAGCTGATACATACAATTGTTTGACTGGTGCAGATTAAGTGTGTGTGTGTCAATATCCCTTTTATTTGGCATTTAAGTCTGAGTGAACTGTTGCTGTCACCATGACCCAGTAAACGTGCCGGTGTAGTCAAATGTATGGCTGAGAGAAGCAATTTTATGAATTTTAAGTGTGTGGAAATTGGGGGGATTAAAGGGTCCCGCTGTGCCACTGGGCCCCAGAGGCAGCTTGTCACCTTGGTGGAAAAGCGTGACGCAGTTTGTGCACTTCCAGCCTACGCCGCCTCTGTGCTTCTGACTTTACTCTAGGGGTCAGGTGTTTACAACCGAAGCCGGGTTTGTAATCGCAACATGCAGCATGGTTTGTTATTGCGGCATTTCTGTGGAGCTTAAACTGACTGCCTGTGCTTCCCACCTCCCTGAGGTCTTGTCAGCCTTATACCAACCTGAGGAAGCCGTCCCACTCAGAACTCAGATGAACAATGACAGGCACAGAAACCGGCAAACCGGAGGAAGGCTGTCTGACTACATGGGTCGTTATTCGTGCATGTTGTCCAATGGAAGTGTCTGCTCTCCAGATCTTGCATCTAATTGTCCTTTTTCTTGTTGAATTACATTATTTGGCCACCAGTATTTTTTTTCCTCTTGCCCAAAGTATGCTGGTATGACTTGGCTCCTCAAACTGCCTGTGCCCACAACGATTGTCATTTTATGATGATGTGCGATTTTTAATGAATTATGAATTAATGGAGTGTCAAACTGCTCGGTTGAAATCTTACAGACTGACAAGTGCTTTACTGAGGGGCACCTTTTAAGCTATTTGCCTCATCTAAGCTTCAGGATGACTGTTCTAAAAAAATAATTTGCTTTAATCACTGTCTAGCAACAGTTGATGGCTTCTCTGTTAAAACTATTGCTGTCTTTGTCAATCTCATACTGAATTGGGCAGTAGAGTTAGCAGTAAGTGAGGAGGGGGGGTCTTGTGACTTGGGATGTTTTTGTAGCTCTGAGTGATTTGACGTGCATTTTCTCAAACCTTTGGTCTGTTATACATCACCTGCTCATTAAATGAATGGGTGCTGATGCAGTCTTAAAAGATATTGTCTTTTATTTCCTTAAGATATTTATTTCCCCTCCTGCAGCCCCTGGATGGCTGTGTACGTCAGTTTGACGTACAGAAAATCTGGGGAATCTGTGTAGAGTACAGTTTTAGACTTGTAAGATCTCCTTCCTTTTTCAGATCCAGGCCGCAGATCGGGGCTCCCAGGAGAGGCGAATCCGTGAGTCTGTGTACATACATCATTCATCGCTCTGCTTGTCTTCTGTTTATTCATCCCGCCACATATTCTCCAAGCATTCTCCATAGCTAATAGTATAATTTAACTGGTGATCAAGTGCATAAATTTAATGAGCTGCCGTTATCTTTATTAAAACTAATTGAGTTTTGAAGAAATTTTGCAGGGTTGTAATGAGTTATTTTCCCCCCCCCATGGTGATTTTGCTGGCATAGCTATGAGTTTGCATTCTTATAGCTTTAGTTGTTTGTTGTACGAAGAAACATACCGCAAACATAACGGTCCATCATGGGAGCTCTGTCATTTTATTACCTTGAGAGAAGTGTTTCATGAAGTTGCATGTGCTGTTTTATGTTGCTTAAATGTTCAGGCTTTGTGTGTTTAGGCTCGTGAGTGAATCTGTGAGGCGTGTGTTTGTTGTGATGTGGCCCTCGGCCATGCGCTTGCATTGGCACACGCCTTCCAGCAGGGGCATCCAGCCATCTGTGTGCATTGGTGCACGTGGCCCCGCTTCTGTCTCCCTGGTTTATTCCCCAGGCACTCTCCTGTCGCACACGCAGTCCCGTCGTTCGCTGCAGTCTTGTCACCTCTGTAGACACGGATGCCTTTGGTGCTGCATTTCCAAACGAGTGTGATCCAGCATGACGCCTGTTCGCACGAGGATGACGCCGCTTTGCCGCTCGCCCTGCCATGCTCCACTGGCTCCATCAATGGGGCTGTGACCTCGGTCGGCGAGAGAAGAACAGCCAGCTTAAAAATGCTTTGAATAAGTCATCTTGTACACCGACTCAAGTTCTTTTGAAATGTTCTTTCTGGATGGGAAATTGTCCTTTTGTATTGTAACCGAAATGCCTTCATGTCAAACACCATTGGAGACCTAAAACCCCATAGAAAATATGGGAGAAAATATTAGTTTGACAACGACCTGGTGAACCTGAGCCCCACTGTGGCTGTACCTCTTCAGAGCAAAATGTTCCAAGAAGGATAAGGATGAAATCTATTTTCTGTTCATCAGCATACGACAAAATCAATTTACTCTGGGTTATCTGGATCTGGTTTCGGCCCCTCTGCTCAAGAGTAGATTTCATCGCTATGGTTCCCTGCCAACGAAACAACCATTCACAGTTGCAGCCAGCCAGAGAGGGAGGGAGGGAGGAAGTGTGGGCTGATGCCACCTCACGCCTGGGCGTGGGCCGCAAACCACGGCAGAGATGTCGCCTAAGCTTGTAAGCTTCTTCGTTATCCTCTCAGCTGGGTTGCCACAGAAACAAAAGCTGAAGGAGCATCGTGCTTCAGTGCACGCTTGTCCTGCCTGCGACTGTCCCTGCAGAGAAGCCCAGAGACTCTCAGATGTTTGGTCTATTGAAAAATCCTAACCGGGCCACAGTGAGCCTGTATACATTGTGGGAGCAAGTAGCCGGAGTTCTGCTTTTCTCCCAGGCAAAACCTGTTGGAAATTTAGCTCAGATTCCAACAAAGCTTGAAGATTTCTATGGGTGGTGGGGGCGGGGGAGGGCTTTAGTGAAAGGTAAGGCTTGGCAGTTGTTTTGAAGTGTAAATAAAATTGTCAGGTGAGTAAAAAAGCGAGCAGGTGTTATAATATTTTGAAAAAATTTAACAGTATACAGTATTTTTCTTATCTGTTGTATGATGAGTACGTTAAGGCAAAACTCACAGAAGTATGTGCCCCCATACTCCTGTGGGGCACAGAGATTTTAAATATTTTATGAAACATACGTTTCCTATTTTCTAAACCAATTCAGAGCTGTTGTATTATGGGTATAATGCCTTGAAGGGGCATTCTGGTGGTCTGGAGCAAATCCCGTGAAGCCCTGGGTGTGTAAGGCGAGATACCAATAGTTCAACTCAGAAAAGGCAAAAGCAAAGGCAAGGACGCGCTCTGGGGTCGTGTGGAGGAGATACTATCTGTCAGACTGCCTTCCAGCCTCGTCAAGCTAATGTATGCGGAGCATCTGTTTGTAAAACACCGGAGGGGGTGCTATTAGGAAATTAATGTATAGGCAAACAAACTGCCTACAACCAAGGCACTTCTTATTTTTATCTCCCCATTACCTGCGGGGGAAAGACGTGTAATTGTGAGGAGTCCCTACTTCAGTATTTTTTTGCATCTTTGTGAAGTAGAATTTCATTTTAATGCTGGTGGTCCGGTTTTTTAAAATCATTTTTAATTACACATCAACATTATGCCACTGCGGTGTCAGTTTCCAGTGGCCAGTGGTGGCTCGACAAAACAAGGCTGATAATTTTCAAAGCTTCTTTATTTGTAATGTAAGTGTTTTATAAAAGGCATGAAATGCTGGTCTTTGTGGTCAGTCTCTCACTGTGGCAGAAAGCCTCCCCATTAGGGAGGTATTCTGAGTGAATATAGATCTGTATTGACAGTGATGTGTCCCATTACCTTAATGATGCATTCTTGAACAACTGGCAACAATGTTCTCTTTCGGCTTTGCAATAGCGTGAAACAGTTTTGCAGCAGAATGATGCTGCCTGACTGATGCGCGCCTCTTATGAAAGGTAGAGGGTGGAGCACTAAAGACGTCAGTTGTAAGAGACACACACTGTGACGTGGAATGTGCTGCTAGTGCCAGGAACAGGCACAGCAACAACAAGAAGTTATGATGGTGTTTTGTGTTGCCACGGCAACTTATAATCAGCAGCCACCCCACCCGCCTCCAATGGCTACAGATAGTCCAATTAAATGAAACCCAGATGGCGGTGATTGGACTGAATTCTTTATTAGGGGAAAGGCTTCACTGGGAGGATTCAGGACTTGGTAGAAAGCTTGTAGGCAGGGTTTCCCAGGTGTTTGCTGTTAGAGCATCTCCATCCATCCATCCATCCATCCATTCATCCATCCATCCCTCCCAGAAAGGTATCTATTTTATCTATGTCTTTGAGCCTTGAGCCCATTTTAGTTTTTGATGTTGAATAGAGTGAAGTCCTTTATTTTTGGGTAACCTTACAATTTTGCACATCTTTCCTGCCCTTGTGACTGTCCTCTGTCACAGAAAAAAAGTCTAGTGCATGAACGAAGAGACCAATTTATGGGCCGAGAGCGTGAGGTCCTTAGAAGCTCTTTCTGATTTGGAGTACGATGGAGAACAAAGGTGCACTGCTGTCCTAGATTCGTGATCTGGCTGTGGGCCAACCTATTAGAAAGGCCACAAAGGAACCTCCGGGAACGTGCTGACAGAAGCCGTACTGAAGGCCAACAGACGGCGGCTGCTCGCTCCGTTGGGGTTGGGAGGGGGGAGGTGTATCGCGATGTACTGTGCATCTTCATTGAGGCTCTGCGCAGGCTCCCTTCAGCGGACTGCCATGTGTCGGCCCCGCCCCTGCCCCCGCCCCTGCTTCCTTGCTTCACGTCCAGTGACTCGGCTGACCTTTCGTTCACCCTTTCAGCCCAGGAACGCCATGCTTCTTGAATCCAGGCCATCCTGCTTTCTCAACCCCTAAGTCCTTCACACGCGTCTCCCAGAGCTTAGACCCGTCTGATTTCTGCGAGCGATTTTTACCTGAGTCTCTCTAAAGGGCAGTGTAACGTTTAAAGTGTATTGACTGGATTGAGCATTTGAGTCTGTTTTTAAAGCTTAATTGGCTCCAGGTCTTGAATTATTGATGGGGTTGGGGGAGGGGTCACCTCTCTTCTGGTATGAATCCTGCGTTCGATTATTTCTCTCCGAGTCGGAACTCGGATGAAAACGTCACGAACAATTTTGTTGTCCGAGTTTCCCCTGTGACGTAATTTCAGCATGGTGGCTTATACACTCAACAGTAATTCTATTTTATAAATCTTTAAAAATGTTTATTTTGTTAAATGTATTAATAGTTATAAATGTAATTGCACGTGTTTGATTTAGAGAATACCATATCATGACCGTAAACAGCATCCTAGCATGCAATATCAGATTTTTACCAGACTTGTTAGTGTCTTTGGTTTGTTTGTAATTTGTTTGCCTCTCGAAAAAAGAATATCGCTATCAATGTACTAAAATATTTTATAAAGCTTTTAATGTGGTTTGACTAGTTTGTGTTTCTCGTTTGTTTGTCTCTCGGAAAAAATAATCTCACTCCAAATCTGCTAAAATATAAAGCAACAACACACAGCAGCATGTTCATGGAGGCAGGTGTGTTTGTTCCGAGACGTGGTAGCTCGAACGGGAGATTGTCAGACGTGATGTCATTCCTTTCGGAATTTCCGAGTTCCGAGAGACAAACGAACGCACCATTATTATTACCTGTTACTGCCGTTATCTTATGGGACTGCAGTGACCTGAGGGATCTGGACCTGCCGCTGAAGTCTCCATCTCTAAAGGAGACCTTCTCCATATGCTTCCTGAAGAGGTTGGAAAGCATCCGCACTGACCTTTCCAGCTTCCAGCTCAGAAGTTAGAAAACAGAACTCACAGAAGCACGGACCAGTCGCCCGTGCAATTAGGCGGGTTTATTAATATGAGGGTATGTTTGGCCTGGGGAGCGGAACCGCAGCTGTGGCACGCCGGCTCGCCTTACCGCATGCGGGCAGCGCACCGTGAATACCAATCGCACCGGAGCACGTCTAATCCGCTTTTGCGATGGAATCGCCCCGCCGGGCATCACAGCTCATTGGTGGACGGTAGTATCGATTCATGCAGGCGTGACTCAGAGCCTCACGTGTGTATAAGCTCCGGGAAGATGCTGCCTCTCACTGACATGGGGGGTAACTGCTACTTGGTAATGTCAAGTCCATTTTAGATGGTTTCATGTACTGAGGATAATGCCGTAGCTCGGTGGAGTGTGGCCAGATTTGTCCCGAGATGGTCAACATTCAGGGCAGCAGCGCTGGATCGGCTCGTTCATATGAACAAACTCAGCCCAGAGTCCTATCTCCTGCCGTGTTAAATCGCCACTAGTAGTGGGTGTGGGTACTGAACAGGAGCCGCAGAACTTAGCCAGGTTGGATGCTGTAGAGTGTTTCCTTACTAAGGTCTAGCAGGGGTTGTGATATTGCTGTGCTGTTTGGCCTAATGTTCTAATGTTCTTTATTTACATCATAAGAGCTTCTCTGTCTGTATGGAGTATGCGTGACCCTTCGGAGTAAAAGTGTGTGAGTCTCTGGATGGTAAGACTGCATTCAGGCATCATATCAGCTGACAATGCATCTGCCCTTCACTTGCATATGGATTTTTTAGAGGATGCTGACAATGCCTGCAAGGTTATCAGACCTGGTGCAGTGGCAGCCCTTTGTGCAATCAGGGCTTTAGAATAGCTTTTTGAAAATTAAGTGATATCACTATAAACTAAAGAAATGTCTCCAAGGACATTTTTTAATGCATATTCAAAATGCAAAAAACCAAGCATGAAAATTTTTTTCTTTTTCTATTCACTGCAGGCCAGATCTTCCTGTGCCGATTGTTTGTGTCATCTGCAATTATATTATCACATGAGGTATTTAACCAGGGTCGCTTTGGTAAATATCATACCATGGAGACGCTTTAGATGTAGACTGGAGCTTGAAATTGTAACCTGCATAAAATTGCTTATGATCAAAACATCTGCTGGGCAAATGAATAATGCGGCAATTAGAACGAGATGTAAAGCAGGGAGAGCAGCTGTTAGTGATGTTTTGGTCAGGCGGACACCTTAAGAGTGACGAGGGCAGTGCGTGTGGCCGTGTCGTGGTGAGCGAGCTTCGGCAGAGCATACCTGCCAGGTTGTCTGTTTTTATCCTGTGACATTCTGGCTTTAATAACACTATAGGGAGCCACCCATGTACATTTGTTAAATAATAGATTTTAAGGGAAAAAATGCTATTGGTAAAGCAGCCGCTACGCCTCCGGGACTCATTGTTTTTCTCCCAGCTCCCCCTGGAGAGACGTATCACAGATTAATTTGTGCTTTTGCTGGCAGGTGTGACCCCATGTTTAATATAACAAAGGCTCATGCTGTGAGTGACAGCTGCTTTGATTATTGCCTGTATGAATGTTTGGCTCTCTTTCAAAGGTGCTTAGATGAAGGGTGTACACAGATCTTGGATGCCACTGTTGATATGCATCAATTGATTTTATAATGATTTTGATTTTGAAACTGATAGGTTAGTCCATGGTTTCATTAAAATGCTTTAATATAGATACCAGTAGGTAAATGCTTAGTGGAGCAAGACTAAGCGGCTGGATGTGGAAGGAGTTCATTTGGTAAGACCTGCAGTGAGCTGGGACCAGTATTTCCTTATACCTCAGTCAACCAGTAGATCTCTGGAATTCTAGAGTCCAGCCCCTATGGAATGCAGTGTCCAGGACATATTGATAAACTAACATGACAGACACACCAGCTATATAACCAGTGGGCATTCTGACACAATAAATCATCCTCCAAGCAGTGTGTCCAGCATCAGGGGGCTCATTCTCTCTCGCTCTCTCTCTCTCTCTCTCTCAAAAAAAAAAAAAAAATCTCCTGTGATTTAAATTCGTGGCCAAGGGTCCTCGCAGGAAGTGCGATGAAATCCTCTTCTGTTTGTCATTGAGAAATGCCCGGGGCGTATCTGGCCGGGAACGCACCATCCCTAATCGCTGCTGTGTTCCCCAATTGATTTATCGATTGCTTGCTTTGCCCACCGAGGCTGGGTGGGAAGGTACTGGCTGCAGAACTCCGGCAAGGCCGTCATCAAGGGGATGAGCGAGGGGGCGCCCCACACCGGACAGTACCTGATTGCCACCAGCACCTTTTGCTGTCGATGATTAATGGGAGCCCATTAATCCGGGGGTCTGGCTGGTGGGCTTGCTTTTAATGAGGCTTCCTTTTCATTCCGTATTTGTAACTGTCTGTCTTTCGTGACCCAGCACTGGGCGAGGATCGCATGCGTAACTGGAGACAGTCACTGGGCCTGCCGGTCTTCCCGTGAGTTCCGCTTTCCCCTCTTCATTTGGGGTGACATGGGGGCCCGAGGCAGCTTGGGGGGGTGGAGGTGATGGACATTGGTTCCTGGCTATGAATACACCCGACCGCGCCGCAGTGTGTGCTGTCCGGTCACTGTGGTGGCCTGTGGGAACATGTGCAGGCTCAGAAACGGCAGAGCAGGTAGGACTACCAGTGATGCCTCCTGGCTCTTGTGCCTCTGCTCTGTGCCGGCTGTGTTGACTCGCTATTCCATGTTTATGGCATTTTAATAAATATAGTCATTTAGTTCCAAATTCAGCTTTTAAAAATTACATGCAGCATAAGCAGTCTGTCACTATGGAAGAGCTGCTGCTGTTTGTTTACTTGATTGTTTATGCTCAGTGTGAGAGAAGTGAAACTCGCACGTGGTTCTTTTTTTTTCTCGTTTTGTCACTCTTGCAGCGTTTTGAACTTCAGCATTCCCGCTTATTGCCTCTCCCTGTCTAAAAACTCCACATGACTGCTGGAAAGCGAATCGAGCTTATGAGGTTTTAATGAGAGGGTTTAATTACCTCGAGCAGTGTGACGGACCATTCCAAATGGCTATATGCTTTGGAAATCTCCTTCAGTTTCAAGCCGTGATATGATCTGTCGCATATCATGGAGATGTCACGGCAAGTGTTAATCGTCCCTAAGTTCTGTGTGCTTCGTTACGCTGTTTTATGTGGTTAACTGTGGAGATGTTATCCTGGAATTCATCCATCAGTTCTTGGAGACTGCAATAACAGCAGCATGAAAGCAGTTCTACAAACTGTATGAAGTATATTTTTTGTGGCAGTGGTTTTGTGGTTCATTATTCTATGGTTCAGTACGGGGGCCTGAGCATGGAAACGCCTCTTAACTGCTATGCCCCCTACTGCCTATTAGACTGCAGTGTAAATTAGTCCCTCTCCCTGGGTAGGACAGTCCTTGGCCAGCAGGCCCCCTGGGCTGACAGTAATGAGGGTTAACCCTGCAGTAAGAAGACAAGGGGCCTCAGGCACAGTCCTGGTGTTGAAATAATTATGGAGCCATTGTGCTGAGCTGCCAGTCATACACACTCTGCTGGTGCACACTTTTGACATTTACACCTCCTAGTGGATAGTGGTGAAACCAGCACACTGGCACAGGTGAATAAAAAAATTGTGCACCTTAACTCTTCTGTGTTTTTCAAAAAACCTTTTCAAAGAATTGCCCCCCTCCCCCATCCCCATTCGTATTGAATTGTTTCTCTGTTCTTTTTGTTGAGGCATCTATCGAGGTCAGATGCATGTTTTCACTCTGCCTTGGGCTTCTTGTCGGAGACCGGACTCCGATCTGAAGTGTGATGCCTTTGTGTGTCAGATCTAAATTGTGCTCGTCCTTCCAGTAATTGAGGTTGATAATGTGCTCCTTCGTCCTGTGTTTCAGGCTCACAGGAAGTGGTGTTTGTCATTCTGAGCCAGCGGAACTCATTCCACGTGGAGCGGGCTCACAAACGCAAGGCCAGTCTCATTCAGCAGGCAGAGAACATCAGACAGGTATGCTGTCCCCTGCGGGTCTCATCAGCGTTCAGACCACATGCTCAGTGAATTTCTCCAAAGTATCAGGACCATTTATTAATGCGAGCCGCCCCAGGTGCCAGAGCAAGTAACTGCAATGATCTATAGCAGATTTTCCAAAATGCCGCACAGAAGCAGCTTGTCACACAATCTCCCACATCTCAGCACTGCCTAAGGACTTATCCCAGGCTCAGGTTGCCTTTTCTCATCGTAAGAACAGGCACAAGAACCAGACAGAAACACCTGTCCGCAGTTATCAGTGTCTGGTCTGAACAGCTGGTTCCATCATCAATCTGTGCTGTAATGTCTCAAAACATCAGAAACATCCTGTTTATTTCCAACAAGATTTTTCTGATTCTGCAGCAGTTTTTTTGAGTGTGAGGCAGCAGGAAGCATGCTGAGCGCACAAAGGCCATTAAACAGTATTACTCATCATAATACTGCATTTATTTTGTCTGAAGGCTGTTCCAGCCAGCACTGACCTTTTTTTTTTTTTTTTTTTTTAAATTTGAATTGGTCTAATTGCTATTGAGGAAAAGTACCAAAATATTTGGCCATCTTGTGTCTGTGTGTAATCAAAGTCAACAAGGAGTTGTAGAGAGACAGGCTGGCATTTTTCTATTTAATACTGTGAATAGTACTAAGTGGTTTAAAAATAAATGATTGTCGTTTAATCACTCTAAATGATGCTATTTACATACATCACCACTAGATGCCACTATTGAACTAACTGTATCCAAGCTATTCTTCTTTAGGAATATAAAATATTTTTTAACATTGCATGTGACCAAACAGCAGGGTCCAGTTTTTTGGCCTATATTTATATCCATATATATTTTTTTGTGGAAATCTATATTTACAGAATATTGGAGTTTCCAACTTAACATTATTACCATTGCATTGCTTGGCTGACATTTTTATTCATACTGAAAGTTTGCATTTAATTCTACATACACATTATTCATTTACCATAAATTGATGAGATATCAAAGTTACAACAGCTCTTGCACTCCTGTAATTATAATAACTAGGTAATAAAACCGGAATTCTTACATGTATTCCCATAGCAACATCTATACCCAAATCATTCTTAGAATTCTTGTGTTTGCAATATATGACACTGTAATTTCCTTCTGTTTGGGGTCTGAACCATTTTCCATTAAACAAAAGTTACATTAATATGCGTGTTCTGAGTTTTTGTTCACAGGGCAGTCAGCTAAGGGAGTGAAAGTGTTTTTTTTTTAATTTAAAAATAAACACCCTTGACTTGCACAAAATGTGAAGAGTTGCTGATAACCATATCAGCGGTGTCAACTGGCAGAGAGGAGTGAGTCATGCAGATGGATGTTGAGCGAGGGGCCTGGTATGCAGTGCTTCAGTCCTCCAGCTGGGGGTGGGGGGGGGGTTCCTCTCTGTAGGTGTTCTCCTTTGCACATTGTTGGGTGTGGGGTTAAGGTCAGTCATGTTGGGACAGATGTTAATATGCATTAGGTGTGCAGCATATTTTCCAGTTTTAGCAGTGTGATATGCTGTGATATTGGGGACTCACTGGCCGGCCTGTGTGTTTGTCAACAACGGAAGTGTTATAATCCCAGGATTTTATGATATGCCCTTCAGTGTTGGCTTACTTTTATGTCTCCTTGAAAATTTATTAAAAAGAATGATGACAGTCGTCCATCTTCCTCCCTTTATAGATTCATGAACATCTGATGACTTTTCACTACTAATACTGTTTAATGCCAATTTAAGCATTTGGTGTTTCCAAGGAGTTTGGGGTAAACAGGGACTGTGAGACCTGCTTTTGTATGTGTTTGCCAAACTGCTTCAGTGAAGAAGAACGTAAATGACTTGTTGCCATAATAATTGTAGCTCCTTAAAAACACCACATAAAGGCTTGGACTTGGGGATTGTGCGCTGAGGAACTGCCAGGTCACTCTCATAAATGAGTAATTCCTGCATACATTCTGGAAATACTTCTGCAGTGAGGTGTGTGATTGAGGCTGGCGGTGCCGTGTTGAGCTTGGAGATGATCAGCTCTGGGACTCACCTGTTCCTTTTCCATAACCCCAGATGTAATGTAGTGCTTTTGTATTTAAAAATTTATTTATTTTTTTACACTGATGATAGTTACAGTATGGTGTATCGTGGGTGAGTCAGTTTTCTGTGACTCATCGTAAGAAGCCGGTAGGTCTTGAGGGTATAGCAGGTACCCTGTTACGCACAGTGCTCAAAATAAGTGACTCCCTGCGCGTCCCATCCGTCAGGGTGCAGCATCACTAATCAGGAGCAGGTAAGCTGTCTCTGAGCTCTGCATATAGGACGACAGCTGCTAAGCCACCATTACACTCGTAGGGGGAACAAGGTGGGCGTCTCTCACAGACCTGCTGGGCCACTTGCAGGTCGCCAACTGGACAGCAAGCAGAGAAGCATAGATTTTTTATTTTACCCTACAGTGTGTGAGCTGTAGTACGTACAGAAAAAGCACCGGATACGAGGAGGACGCCCTCTGGGAGGGTGAGGTGCGAGGAGGTGTTATGGACGACCAAGTCTGGAACACAAGTAGAAACATCCAAACTGACAATGTGACAAAACAAACTTCCTGTACCTTTACGCTTCCTCCTCATCGTGGCGGAGAGGAAGTGATGTCTGTTAGCAGCACAGTTTGCTGCAAGCGAGTATCGGAGTGGTTAGACATGGATACTCACATACAGTACAGGCCTGGGAAAGGGGTCTCTGAATTGTTTTTGGAAAAATTTAAATGGCTTTGAACGCGCATGGTAGGTAAATTGCAAAACAAGGCTAATATTTTCTACACAATGCCTGATTAGCAGCAGCGCTTGCCAATTTGTGTTCCATTCTTTTGCTGAGCGTGAAACTTTTAATATGAAAGCCCACTTCAAGAAACCACAAAGCCCAATTTATTTTTGCATTTTCTTTTGGCTTTTACATAATTGTTTCATTTGAAAGCAGACCGACTGTAAATTATCAGGGTGAATCCCACAGATGTTGAGGAAATAGCAAAATCAAAATATTTTCAGCATATTGAAGTGCAATTAAGAAGAACAATGGAGCTTGGAATAAGAGTGAATGTTGAATTTGCTCTGAATTATGTTCAGGGTTTGGGCTGCAGACCCATTCAGCTGTCTGTGGCATGTCTGTTTCATTGTCCTCTTGAACGTTGCTGGTGGCAACATGGGATGCAGCCCAAAAAAAAAAAAACCAAGCTAAGCAGCAAAATGTAAAAACATTTTATGAATTTCAACTTGAATCAAATTCTGGGGGTGACCCTGAGATGCAGGAGACCCATTCATCTTCGGAGCCATATTTTTCAAATGCCTGTGTTGACAAATTTGGTGTGTTTTTATGTTAACGTTTGATGTTACAACAAACCATGTAATGTAAACAAAATTTGTTGTTGCTGTAGGAGCTGCATGGAGATATTTCAGACCTGCATTAGTCCATTACTCCACATGGATGACTCCTCTGCTTAGCTTCCGTTGTCGCACAGTGTACCTTACCTAAAGCATCATGCTGCACAGTGCTACGTAAGCCAGGCCTGCACCATCTTTTGGCGCTAGTCTGTGGCCGGCACGTTGGAAATTACATGCTGTCAAACAGATCGACATTTAAAACCACCTTTTATTGTCCCGCTTAAAACACTGAAAAATAATGAAAAGACTGAATGATAAATATGAATATTGAGCAGCGAGAGTGGCAGTAATACCAGAAAACCTACCCTGAGGCTTAAAGCAGAAGCTGGGATGGGGATGACAAGTGCCTCGGGTGTGGAATAGAAGCACCTTTCAAATGTGTGCTGGCAACCAGAAAGCGGCTGAATGACTCATTTATTTTATTTTTAAAGACTGTCCTGTGGGGGTTTTATTACATGAAAGGATTTGAGTATGTCAGTTGTGTTTCTGTCGTTCTTTTCTCCCGCGTTCATTTTACATATTTTAATTGGGCTTTAAGAAGTGCTTTTGTCGCATGGTTTACAATGTCAACATATACTTTTGTGTCATTTTTTTTTTTTTTTTGAAATCGTAAATCTCATTTGTTGGCATAATGTCAATGGACAGATTATAGCAAATGTTATATGATGTTGGGAACAGGGAAACAACTATAACAAAACTGGTGAGTTAGTTGACAGAAGGAAAAGATTCCTCTTGTCAAAGCTTTGTGATCTTACAAATGTTACTATGCTATACAGATCCTTTGCTATAATTCCAGAGAAGTAGGAGAGTGGATTTTTCGGCAACACTACTTAAGGCCATGTTTTTAGTAATTTATAAACACATTCATAACAAATAAAATGCATTCATAAATCATTATAAACATGGCTATAAATATTTATCAAAAAGCATAACACATTATAATCGTGTTATGCATTGTGACTGCTTTATGAAGCTCTCATCTATAATGAACTATAGATACCTTTTATAATGCAGTGCAAAGCATCCTTAATGTTTATACCAACCATTATAATGCAATATAAAGGTATATGTAATGCATTATAGATGAGTTTCATAAACTGTAATGCATAATGCACATTGCTATAATTTTATTCATTTTTATAAATATTTATAGCCATGTGTATAATGCTTTATGAATGTATTATAACGCATTATCAATTACAAATGATTAAATTTCTTTTTTCGGTTTAAATTATGTCTTGCCTCCGGATTAGCTAGGCAGCCTGACAGCCATGTCTTCTCTGCTTGCTGGTGACACCGCTGGTCTTTGTAGGTGGTTTAAGCTGCTTGCTGGTGCCTCAGTAGCAGTTTTTGATGATCTAGCCACAGTCTGGGAGCACATGAGCCGAAAGGGCCTGCGTGTCCCAAATCTCAATCCAAAGTGCAGTGGCAGGACGTCCCCTCCGGTATCTTTTCTACATGGAAAATACAGAGTCTCATTTGACAGTACCCTCCCACAGGCCCTTCAGGAGTGCTGATGGGAAACTTCAGCAAAGAGCCACTCCAGGCACTGGGGGAGAATTCACTGCAGCTTTACTCTGACTCCTCATTCTCACTGGCAGCTGACAGGTGAAATGCTGCCTGTGTTAGGAATTAGTTAAAATTTGTAGATCTGTTTACTGCCAAGCCAAAGCAAGGCTGAAATTTCCAAGGGAGAAGCTAGTATGGTACTCAGGCTGTCTAAAGATTCTTTTTGAGCTTTTTTATGACAGAAAAAGACTGAAAGATGCGTAGAGTTTGACTGCTAGCTAGTAGAGTTGTTGTAGTACTTTAAGGCTTATTGTATCTAAAACTCACTGTAGTGCTTTTGTTGTGACGTTTGTGTGACTCTCTCAAAGTAAATTCTGCTGTTTTTTTTTTGCCACCTTAATAAAATTCTATCAAAAAGTATATTCATCTGAAAACCCCGTTCTCTCTCCAATCTGGGCCGGTGTCGTCCTCTATTACTGCAGGCCCTAGCGCTGTGGAGAGTGTTTCTATGACGACAGTATCCATTTTTCTGTGCAATACTAAAAAAAAAAAAAAAAGATCTAGAAAACCATATGATGAAAGAAACAAATGACATGATTTAGAAACTAAAAGTAATTTTCATAATAGCTTTCTACCAGTTTAATCTTGCTTTAATCTGCCCAGAGAATTTACCATTCACCACATCTTAATTCTGAGAACAATTATAACTTTGAGACATCCACAGAGGGACAAAAACGCTCTAGTATTCATAACCTTTCCACACCCCCTACTGTTCAATCAGAATTTAAAGCGGTTTTCTATAAGCTTGCCAAGAATCTCTTAGAAGTATTTTATTTTTTAATTTACTTTTATATCTCAGGTCAAACCATTGTGATCTTTGAAAGATGCATGCTGCGTCTGAGAGACTTTATCTCCCACAGAGCATACCTACTGTGCTGCTGCTGCACAGCCTGTCAGATAATGAGGGTGACTGGAGCATCCTTCCACTGCTGCCTTTGTAAGCACGCCGGCCTTCTTCTCAAACTGCTGTTGGCTTCCATAAAGCAAAGATGAATCTTCATAAAGTTGCATTCCCCTCCCTAAGGCTCTGTTTCAACCTGCAATCTGGCTTCAGTGTTGTCAATAAAATAACATAGTAATCCTGTTTTATTAAACATTAGTTGTCTAAGGGTTGCTTATCTTCATCGTACCATTGCAGGTCTTTCGTCTGTTTCTGCTTTATTGTATGCGATTGTTCCTTGGATTGAGTGTGACTGAAGAAGTGAACATTCCACTGCAGTTGTTGCACATGGTTTGAAATAAATATTTGCAGTTCCCATTTCTGTATTCATCCATAATACAGTAGCCCCCCTGTTTTTTCCACGTATCTGCCAGGGATGGCCAAAACTGCATATAATAGTGAACCTTCCCTGGACCCCATGTATAATGTGATTTTCGTTTGCATACATATGGTAAAGAGAAATTTGCACGCAAGACATTACCAATATCAAATGCTGGAATAAAGTGCACTGTACCTTAATTATACAGTACTCTGCAGTACTGTGCTCTCTCAAATGAATAGGATTCTGAAGTTTTAGCCTAATTCTCAAGAGACGATAGAGCAATGGAAAAAAATCAATATATCAAGGAATGGCAGAGCAATGAAAATCATGCTGTTTGTACCCCTCAAAGGAACAATGAAAAAACATTGTTACACATTTCACAATGAAACATTGTACCATGTACCTGTACATAACCTGTAGCGGTGGGCTGGCAGATTTCCCCATGTTACAGCCAGTAACATTGTGCAGTTTGAAAGTTAACTGTCTATTTCTGTAATTTTCCCTTTTTTTGGACTGCAGTATGCAAGATGGTTGGATTAATCACAAATTTTATACAGCATGTCAGTAGTGTCTTTCACTCACGACCTCCCCCCCCCCCACACACACACAATTTCCCAGCTTTTCTGCATCCTATGGAAGAAACTCCTCCTGGATCGTGTTCCTCGAGGAAGAGACTAACGTGAAGCTGGACAAGCTGCTTGAGATCCTTGGAAAGTACGACGCCAAGAAAGTGAGTTTGCCAGGTTTCTCCTGGAATCTCTTCTCTTCTCGACTCCCTTGGCTGCCTTTTCGCAGATGCAGAAAGTTCATTTGTAAAAAAAATTGTTCATTTTGTGGCTCAGCCTACTAAAATTGGTGTGCATCACTGAGGCTGCTGGAATAAACATGATTGGTTGTTGTATTATCAGTAGACTGTCATCTGCAGTCAACACTGTGTTGTGCCTGTTGTTACTGTACTTCCCCCCACTGCACAGGTAAAGACAGTGGATATTTAACTTGGATCATCAGGCTGCCAGGCAGAATAGTTACAGGTCTGTGGGCCCTTGAGCAAGGCCCTTAACCCACAGTGGCTGCCCTCCACTGCCAAACTTGCTCTCAGCTCCATGTGTATCTGTGCCATGGAGAGTAAGATGGGGTGGGCGAAAAGAGAATTTCCCCATGGGGATCAGTAAGTGTCATAATAATAATAACATTAATAATAATTCTTATGCTTTTCACGTAGCCTGTAAATTGCACTGGGGGGGAGACAGTCTCCAGAATTCCGAATACATACATACATAAATCTGTAATTTGCGGGATACATATAATCTAAGCTCTGTTACGCATCTGAATATTCGACTGTTAATGTGTTAGAAAATTGAGTTGATTTTAAATAGAAGCACCTGATAAGTGATAGTGATGTCAGAAACGGGCTTTAATGACATCTCCTTAAATATAATGGACTACTCTGAATAAATTTCAAAGTAGAACTTTTCAAACTGCAGCTATCTATTTGTATTCTCCCACAGTTTTTAATCTGAATTTGCTGTACTCTGCAAAGTCATCCACACTGAATCTGATTGACCTTTGGGAGAACAGGATGAAAAGATATTTAGTTATTACCTGTTGGCCCTATACAGATACAATATGAATTTAAAAATGTGAGAAGTAATTTACTGCAGTGCTAAAACATACACTACAAGAGCACTGCAAGCTTCAGCGGTACATAGTTCAGTAAAGTTTTTAATTGGAATAATCTTTCATAAATTTATATGAAGTTCCATGTATTTTAAATGTTTACTGCATTGGGCATTGCTTTTATGGCCTGCTCTGGTTTGGCATATTGCAAAAAATGTTTTGGTAAGGGCATATCAGGGCCGATGGATGTGTTTACCACCTCTGTGGTGTGGAACAAGCTCTGGGTGCTCCAGACACCTGACAGTGAAGGACAAAGGAAGGTAGATGACAAATGATGGCAAGTTCCACTGATGAAATTAAATCTTTGTAGGGGGAACAAACAATTCATTGCAGCTGACACCCTGTTGCTGTATGAATATGTAATTACTTCAGCTATTTCCAGTGAGCAGAATAGAATGGTTTGTTTTCCCTAAATTTATCCCTCAGTTTAGCGTAGTTTACAAAGCAGTTTGAAAAGAATACTAAAGTGTAGTTTATATAAATATCAATATACTAAAAAAACATGTAAATGAACGTTAAGGTAGTATAAACTGAAATATTATAGAATGTGTTTTTAATCATAGAGTACAGCTGAAAATATATTTGATGTGAAAATGTAGTTTATTCTATTAAAGTCGTCTATTTATTGAAACCAGTGTTCTGTGTTGTGCGATGTGTATTCTTTTCATGTTTATTTAAAAATGACTTGCATAAAGTGGAAAAACCTCAAGACTGCCAACTGAATGACTATAAAGAGAAATGAAAATCCAGGCAAAGGACTGATTAGATAGCAGAGGTGACAGGCCGACAGCTGGTGGAGGCGTGACTCTGCTGGTTTCGTAGCTGATGTTTTCGGGTCTCGTTCCTCAGGAGTGGTTCCTGGGGAAGCCCCTGCAGGACGAGGAGTCCACCATCATCCACCACTATGCCTTCGCCGACAACCCCTCTGCCTTCAAATACCCCGACTTCGGTGCGGCCTGGGCCTTGAGTTCCCCCCTCGTCAACCGGTTGGGGCCTTGCTTTGCTTTTGCCTTATGTCTACAAAGATGTGCCATTTATTTTACCAAAAGAAACTGCTCTAAGCCAGTGCTTTTATGTTCTAGGCTTGCAGAAAAGCTTAAGAACGACCCACTTAAGTCTGACTTTACTATTGACTTAAAACACGAGGTAAGATGACTAGATTTTTGGTTGATATCCAAATAAAAATATGATGATATGGGCTTTTTTTTAAACATTAAACATTAGTTGTCTAAGGGTTGCTTATCTTTTATAAATGGTTTTTTTAGACTTCACCACATTGGTACTTCAGATTTTTGCTAACGATATCCCAAGAATCAGTCATTTTTAATTTGAAATGGAAAAACATTAATTAGATTAGTGGGAATAGCTGAGAGGTATGCAGAGAATGGCTTGGGGTTCACTGTCGCAACACATTGTGCCAGTTGGAAAAAATCCCATTTTATTACATTAGTGTCCTGCTTTGTCATTCGCTGATGATTCATTAGCATGCTTGCTTGTGTTTACAAAGGCATTTGTTTCCATGAAGGTCCATTTTCAGAAATGGGCTTTTCTAAATTGACCTTGTAATTGCTGAGCCCCCTGCTAGACCGGCTGATTAATTGTGGTGCCTCTTGCAAGGCCAGAGCCTTCTAACTGCAGCAGGCTGTTTCAGTCACCAAAGTGGCTGGCAGGAGCCTGCATTTACCAGGCTTTCAAATACGATGATTGTTTGCTATTTGTATTTTAATCCCTGAGACAAAAAAACTTTTTAAGACCAAGATGATTGATAATGGGCATTTTTTAACCTGATGTTCCCAAAGTATGTGTCCTTTCCTTCCAAGCCTGTAGCCAACCTAGATATCAGTAACTTTTTGAAGAATAGAAGAAATTTTTACTAGTTTTTTACTAATTTACATGTGTTTTACTGTTAGTTTTTTTTCTTCTTTTTTTTCTGAGCAAATGTGCACTTACTACCCAGATAAGTAGCTTTAAACATTTCTTTTGACTTCCTAAGACTTTTATATATAAAAAGTATGAAATTATCGCTAGAGTTTTTCTGCGCTCATGTTGGTTTTAAAAATTACTGTCCGTCTTTCAGATTGCACTTTACATCTGGGAAAATGGAAATGGACCAGCTCTGACTGCGATTCCGGAGCTCTGCACTGATCCGGAGGACCATCCCCGCGCCTGGCGCTGTGCCACGACCCTCGACACTCCGCTTCCCCTGTGTGTACGTCTCTCATTGTGGAGCTCCCTCCCGAACTGACTTTCCTGTGCACTTAGCCCCTAAATCTCTGACCTCTCTGTGTTCTCTGCCTACTGAGTTCAGAAACGCCAATGTTGGCATCCAACATGCACATGTCACCTATGCAGTATGGCAGGGCTGCTCAGACACTAAGTGGGGCGGGGCTTTTTTAACAAAAAGAAAGAAAAGCTAATGAAGGAAACGTGCATCTTGGGAGGCGCAGCGAGAGGAAGGTGTTGAAATGCTAGTTAGGGGCATCCAGGCAGTGGCTAGATCAGGGTGGCACCCCAGTGGTCCTCATGCTCAGCCATGTTCAGGGGCGCCTGCATAACCACTAGTGCCCCCCCCCCCTTGCCAGTCTGGTTTCCTGGAGGGGCTGATGGGCTGCAAACAGGCCTCCTCTTTTAGCCCCCAGCTATAGGTAACTGGGCTGGCCATGTGCTTTTCCTCCCTGCAGCTATGCCATCAAGTCTTCTCTGAAACATTGAGCAAAGCAGAAGACAAGCTTTTTGATTGCCGGATTCTTCTGTGAACTGAAATTAAGATGCGCTCTTAAGTTGTCAATCGCTCGTTACTCACTTTGCAAATCCAGGTGAAGGGCCTTCCGCAGGCAGGATGTCACTCATTCCTGCTCTCCAGTAAGGCTTGTGCAGCCATCCGCTGTCTGTTTGCTCTTAAACAAGGGGTTTAATTAGCACCCCACTGGGAACACTGCGTCCTGGTCCGTACCAAGAAATCCAGAGCGTAACGCATAACAGAATGATAAATGCAGGCCCCATTTCTTAGCACACGGCACACTAATTTACCTTAAAAGCCTATTATTTTTTTTTTTTTAAGTCCAGAGTCAGAAGTAGACAAGATTTTACTCCCCCCTCCCCCCGCCGCTGCCTCACTGGATGAGCGTGTTGGCCTCTGTCTGCTACTGTTTTAGAAAATGAACAGTACAGTGACACAGCTAGACTTTTAGTAACTAGCCAGTTATTTCATCTTCCTCATTAAAAGGGGGATCCAGTGAAGAAGGAGGACGTCTTTGTTGCCGTGAAAACGTGTAAGAAGTTCCATGCGGAGAGAGGTAAGTCGAGTCTTGATAGCTACTTACCCAGTTTCTTAAAAAAAAAATAAAAAAGAAAAAGAAAAGAATAAGTAGCAGAATATTTATTTACAGAGCAGATGCCTTTATCCTGACATGCTTTGCATAGTTGATAGTTTCACCCCTGTATATACAGCAGAATATTCTATCATGGGTTAAATTTGGTGATTTTTTTTATTCTTTTCTTTTCTTCTCCCTCATGGATTCTTTTTTTTCCTTCGGCCTGAAGATCAATTTTCTACATCTATATGTTATCTACCTTCAATAGTATCTCTACTGGATGGGATTATTCTGCAGTTATTTAAGCACTATTTATATGTTATCACCTTTTCCCGTTTACAGTAGCATAGGCCAACAGTTAGCACCTTTTCCAGAAATAGCAAATGACTAGCCGGCTTTTTTTTTAGCTACACAGCACCTCTTGGTGCCACCACGGCTTGCTTGGTTTCTCAGTAACCCCAGCCTGTGTTTTTCAGAGGGTTTCAGAATATTACTGCACCTTCACACTTCAAAGGCTGTGATGAAACTGATGTTGGAGAGATTTTGGGCTGTGATTTTTCAGCTTGGTGAGGTCTTTCATGTCAGGCAAGCTGTTCATTTGTCATGTGGCATCTTTGTGTTAGTTTACTTCCACCCCATCATCTGGTCCTCTTGGTGGGATTAAATTTCTAAGGTATTTGTGATACTATTTTTTATTTTTTTCATCATTATGTTTCATCGTTTTTTTTTTTCCAGCAATAGTGGGAAATGGTACCAGACTGGGTCTACGGTTTCTCTACATTCCTACCTATATACTTCCACTTTAAATACATCAGTCACTGTCCTCTTTGATGGATTTGTGACCTTACACAGATGAAGTCTTGACAGTACAAATATCTTCACATAGTACAATGATTGCAAGAAGACGGCAAAGAGCCTTGAAGCGTATGGTATAGGAACAATGTGACACTGTAAACCTTCAGGCAGGATTCACCTGTAACCTGTTTATTAATTAGCCCCATAATCTTATTTTTATAAATTAGTTTTTTCTGAATTACTAAAACTCTAAACTTCATTCTTGGAACAAAACCAGCAGTTGTCAAAACTTGTCATTTATCAAATTGATAACTCTAAGCTGTGTTCACTTAATTTGACAATTTGCAGATCTGAGTCAAAGCACAAAATAGATTTCATTTATTAAAATACATTTGCGCACCATGGGGAACATTGATGAAAAATTAAAACCATTCACACACAATTCTAAACCTGAGTAAGCCAATGAATGACTAGAAAACATGCCGGATGAGAGTGCAAGTGCCGTAGGTGAATTATGATGTCAGGGTATGAATAGGTCTTAAGAGAGGATTCTTCCCCTGCTGTTTAGCAAGGGAGAACATTGCTTGTGGTGCAGACAAATGTCTAGGGCTGCCGGCATTAGGCGACTTAGTCGATGACGTCAACGCTGAAAATGCGTCGACATCGATATTTTAAATCGACACTTTTTTATTTTTATGAAATTACCATTATGATTTCTAAAATGCTTCAATTCATTATAACATTTTTTTCCTTTAATGTCACTACTTAATTATGGGAGTAGTTCAAATTATCACAAAACAAAATGGTATTTTTACATTGTGCAAAATTCGATGGCATACTAAACAGACACCAGCACTAGGCACGAGTGCCTGAAGAGAAAACACACAGGAGCTATTCTGAACTGCTAGGATAAGCAAAAGCACTGCATGTGTTGTCTATTCATGTTTATTAAATTACCATTAGTACAGAAAGCATTTAATATCTTTTGTCCTTGTAACTACTAAATATACTCATTATTAAAGCCATAAAGTTGTCTGCCTACTACTCCATTGAATAAATATTTGAGAAAATGTTTAAGCTAAAATCTGGGGTTATTCTGCGAGGATTGACGGTGCTAGTGTATGTTCGTGCACATTGGGCTGATTGGAAGCAGTGTTATGGTAAACTGTAATTGAAATAAAATTGCTATACTAAACACAGTAAAACACAGTGCCACAGCAAAACACAGTGCCACACTATCACCATCTTTTTACCTTGTTAATCCACAATATCTCCTTTTTTAAACGTGTTGTGGTTGCTGAGCTTCAGTGCTCATCACTTCCATGATTTACTGAAAGTTGCATTTGGTGTGCTCTGCTAACCAAATTTAATAAGCATAAAGATACAGCATATCTATACAGATTACTAACCTTTGGGTGTCACAATACGCATCTCGTTTATTTTAGGCATACTACTAATTTGTTTATCGAACTGAAAAATAATGTCCATATAGGGACATTAAAGCCGAAAAGCCGACATCTATCATCTAAAGCCCTGCAATAACATTCAGTTTGTTATTGCTGTCAAAATAAAATTAACTTGATTTTCTGGAGGAAAATTAATCAGTCAGATTAATCGACCCATCGGTAAAATTGTCAATATATTAATCCATAGAAATATAGTTGTTGAAAAATAGATTTGGAATGCTGAATACTGCAAACATTACATATTGCTTTACACATAGTTGTATACAAACATTTTTGCTAAATGATTTTCACTATAGTCACTACAGTGCAGTTTCCAATTTTGCTACTCAACAGGCAAAAAAAAAACATATTCTCTGTAAACATGTTTCTCTACATGCCAGGAACATTTTTGACTGATTGTGTTCTCAGTTTGTTGCTGTAGTGCGTAATGAATGCCCAGTAGTGTTTATGTATTGACTGGCTTTGTATATGATCTGAATGCAGTGTTTGGTTTTTGAGTTAAAATAGTTCTGAGTAGATTTTTTTGATTTTTCAAGACTGGTCACAGGTTTTTTTAATATAATTTTGGAAATTGGGTTTGGTGTTTACGGTTTTGAAAGCAGGAGGAAAAGTTTCCGGAAATATGCTTTAGCAAACTGTTACAAGGATTAAGATTTTTGAAATCTGAAGTGGTGCTGACATGAAATGGAGTAAAAACATTCCATGGTTGCATTTCTAACAATGGGGACTTAATGAAGTCTTCATGTCCTGACTGACTTACAGCCACTTTTTAAAATAGTGAAATGATCCCAACCATACTGTACATAAAACAAGTTCGCATTTCCAGGCAATATCGCACCCGGTTATTCCATCTGCTGGAGGCATGAAAGCGTGCAGTTTTCACATTACAGCTGCCCCTCTGTGATGAAGCACCTGTCTCTCTTCTGACGCCTCCCTTGCTTCCCTGCCCCTTATTGTCCCCTCGCGGCTGCAATCTTTGCCTTATGATGTGGGAATAGGAAGAAGTGCAATAGCCTTTATCAGTTTCCTATTTTTCTGCTTCCGAAATCCATGCAGCCAGATTAGTTGTAGCTTCAGAACTGGTTTTCTTGCGTTAGTCCTTGATCTATTTGTCTATGATTTACCGTCTGTAATCCACCCCATCCACACGTACATAAAGAGGATGATATTTAAAGATTGTCACATTTCACCTTAACCTGTTTCAGGCATTAAACTATTTTGCTAATTTTCTATTTTCCGTTTTGCCACATGCGCATTTGCTCTTGCTTTTCCACCGCTACCAAGAATCGATTCATTTTTTTGTGCTTGCCTTTGGATCTAGTTGTCCTGTATTCAAAAAATAAAAGGCTGTGTCCCATTTTCAACCAATATGGGATGTGATTTGCCCCCCAACTTGACAAATTTATCATTGGGTACCCGGGGGGGGGTATTCTGTATTTCCTCAGATTGAAAGTGGAAACCCTAATTACTGGTGTGTATGACTAAGCACTTGCGTTCTGTATGTTCCACTGGACTGCACTGTTTCAGATGGTGAAACAGGTTTGCAGTATTAAAGTTTCTTTAATTGGCTCAAGTTTTTGGCTTAATTTATAATACTCTGTTGCACGTTGGACTTAAAATTGTCAAAGTATCACCACACCACCTACATCTTTTTATTTTGTTTATTCACATGATCTTTTTTAAAAGATGTTGAGCTGTCACTTTCTTCTCTGACACTTGAAGTTTGCTCTGAGGGTGTGCTCATCTCTTCCACGATAGCACCGAAATAATACCGTGGCATGCACAGCTAACTCAGTCAGCCTTCCAGTGTGTTGTCCGTTCTTAAAAGACTACCATATGATTGGTTGGAATTGCTTTTGTGTCTGTTGTGATGGGCTGATATGTGCTATAAATCAGTATTTCTTATGGACAGTTTGTTGAAGTTTCTCATTTTCATATTGTTTAATTTTACTTGATCATAAGTAGAGATGCACTGATGTTGATATTCGGATCGGTATCGGCGCCAATCCAGACCTATTTGACGGATCAGGTATTGGCCATGCGTGACCGATCCATGTCCTATACTTACTTATTTAGTTTCTGGCAATCAATCGCACGACAGCTCTTTCCCATTTTCCATGTGTTTTTTTTGCAGCATTCAAATAGAACGATATCGCTGCCCTCAGTGTTTTTTTGCTACTCAGTGGGTGTGAGTACAATGACTTCCGCTTGTTGTGACGTCATGCGCATACTAGGGATGTAAGCAATTAATCGATTATCAATTAATTGTCGATAAGAAATTACTCGATTAAAATTAATTAATTGCAATTAATTGTATTTTGAACCCATAATTCCTTGCCAGTCCTCGTGGGGCGCACTTGTTTTCGTTTTAAGTAGTCTTTCTTATATTTTGATATTTTCTATTCAAAATATGTTTGAAATGCTACCAAATGTTATTCCCTGCCCTCAAGTGAGCTCAGAATAAACCTTTGATTAAGGAATATGATTTGCATTTTTTCTTCATATCATATAGAAGATAGCATTCTATGTTACGTATACAGTAGATGGAACCTATTCAGAGGGAAATTCAGCTTCTCAGAAAAATTGCCGCTTAGCAATTAATCGATCATCAATCGATAAGATAAAACAACTATTGATTAATGAATTACTCGATAATTTGCATCCCTAGCGCATACCCTTCACAGTACGAGGAGCGTAAGATAAGACGTGACGATCTGGGACTATTATACGCTTTTAACAGAAACCAGTAGCACAGTGATTTGTAATCTATGTAAAATAAAGTTTTGAGGTGTGAATAGCGTTTAATGGACAATCCCATTTAACAAAGTGCACGCAACTGCGAGACAAAGCAATGGATGATTTGGGAGTCGCTAACTTAATTGGACTGTTTTGCGAACTCGCTGCAGCTTGTGATACAAGAGGGGCTGCCATCGCAACAAAAGGGTAACTGCGCTGCCACCAATGGGAGAAGAACTGTGTTTAAAATTTTAAGCATTCGCCACTTGTGTATACTTGCATTGAAGATATTCATATTGAACTGCAAATGCCTCAAAAACACTTAAAAACAAACGAGATGGAACAGTACGTTATGTATGTTTGTAGTAGCCTAATTAAATATTTTTGTCATACAGTACATTTTTTCCCATCTGTATTTACTAGCTTAAAAAAATTAATATATATAGTATAACAAAATAAAAAGAGCTCTTGTATCGGAATCTGTATCGGTATCGGCAGTTGTGTATCGGAATCAGATCAGAACTGAAAAAATGTGGATCGCCCATCTCTAATCATAAGTTGATCTATCATATTCATTGCCGTCTTAGTCCTACCTTACTGTGGCAAAGGAAAACGGGAAATCAGCTGAATTGACCTGCAGTAATGTGCACAATAATTCACCGTCATGGGTTTGACCCCCAAGACTTAATTTCTTGCCTAGTGTTCTGTTTTCTAAAGCCACACTGTGTAGAAGAATGCAAATGAGCAGTGTGATCTGCCTTATATTTTTAGTGGCACTATTTGTATTTCAGGACACTGAAAAAGATAAGGGAGTGTCTTATGGTAGTCTGCTTATGACAGTGTGAATACCCCCCCCCCCCATGACACTGAGATCGGTATATGTGCCTTTTAATTTCTACTGAGATTCTTTCTAACACTGACAGTTCTGCCATTCAGCTGAGATTAGCACTTATGCCCTTTGCTGCCCATCAACACTACATTGGAGCACAATGTGCCCTTTTCATTGGCTCCATGCAGACACAGGCTTCTTCACCCTCACAATGTTTATGGTCTACAATATGTTACACTACAGCATGATTTGAAAAGGACCTTGTCTGGCAGTTTTTTTTTTTTCTTTTCTATAGCCATTTCTCTGCACCCCTGAGTACTGCTCTCTCATTGTTCCACAGTCCCTGTGGTCAAGAAGACCTGGGAAAAAGAGGCAGCACTACTGGAGTACTACAGTGATCACGCGGATCCCTCCATACCCACCATTGATCTCGGAGTGCCCAACACAGAGAGAGGTACGTGTTGTGCTGATGCCCAGGCTTTTCTGTGTCTAGCTGTACATCGGTGGTCTTAAGTGATAAGGACATGCAGCTTTCAAAGAGATTAAGGCCTGCTTGTATCATTTGCTACTCAGCTGGTCTGCTTGCATAAAATCGATTTAATTCCTCGATGAAAAGGACATCAATGACCTGGAAAACGGTGCCAGCTTGGCACCCCTTTGATATTGATTGTGTGATAGCTTTCTTTAGTTTCTTCTGCTGTTTGTTGTTGTTTTCTTTTCATTTATTTGCAATTTTTATTTTACTGACAACAGTTTTGGAGTAGATTTGCTGTTAAAGTAATGAGTTCTTTTCTTATCTAATTATCCCATTCATTTATGCTCTTCCCTAATTTTGAGAGATTGGTCCACTGAACATCCTGTATGCTGAATAGCAAACTGAAATCTGAATTCTCTGAACACATGTAAGGTTGACTCATCACTTGAGGCTTTTTTTGAGATTCATTAAGATATACAGTATTTTATTTTTCATTAATTAAACTTCTCTTGGTGCAGGTTATGCAGGAAATAAGCTACTAGATGACAATGAAAAATCTGCCAATAGCAAGTAATTGAGACACAAGTAGAATTTCAATCGGTTATTTTTTGTGTATAGTCATTAAGTTGAGTCTGACTCTTCGTGATCTCGTAGCCTTTCTCGTGCAGGCAGTGCTGTCAATCCCTTGTAGCCTGTCTTCCTCTTCTCATTTTGGCTTCAGTCTTCCCCATCATGAGATTCATCTCCAGCAATTCATATATTTTCATGATGATGTCCAAAATTTCAGCTTCTATCTCATCATCAGTCCTTCCAAGGTGAAATCTGATTTTTTTTTCAATTGATTTGGTTGTTTTTCTTTCTATCCATAAAATTCACTGAACTCTCAACAGTTTCCTCCAACATTAGAGTTCAACTGTGTCTGTTCTTTTACATTCAGCCTTACTACCAGTCCAGTTCTCACATCCATACATCACTACTGGAAACACTATGGATTTGACCATGCACACCTTTGTGGACAATGTGGTATCTGTGCTCTTCATTATGTCGTTTTTCTTCCAAGAATTAAATGTCTTCTTTTAGTCAGAGTTAAATCCAAGTTAGTTTTTTATACAATGCTGCCATCACTAGGGACTGTTAAGGGCCATAGAGAGATGAGCAATTTATTAAATGATCTGTTTATCTTTGGATGTGTTTGTTCCATTTTTGGCAATTTAAGCAATTTCTCTCCTAATATGTGAAATGTATTTCTCCTAGGGTCATTCCATTATTGTGAAAGAGCACTAAATCCAGTTTAAATTTTTTAATTCAATTTGATAAATTTCTTAGAAAATGGCTGAATTGATGGATATGCCCTGTCACCATGTGGTACTATCAGAATCTCCAGGTGGATTAGAGTGATGCAAAGACTGCTGGGGCAGATAAAATCCATCTTGAGATGCTGAAGACACTGAATGTTGTTGGAGTGATGGGTTGACATGCTTCTTCAGCGTTGCATGGAGAGCGGGTTAAGTACTGCTGACCTGGCAAACGTGGAGTTATTATTTCAGAGTGGGGAACTGGACGGTGTGTTACATCGGTCGGTAAATCACAATTCTCAGACTCCCTAGGACATTGTTTGTCAACCTGGTGCTCAGGGAGACCCAGACGGTCCATGTTCTTGCTCCCTCACGGCTCCCAGCGGTAGACTATCTGGGGGTCCCCAAGGACCGGAACGATAAACACTGTCCTAGGAAAGCCATTACCAGGGTCCTGAGGGGAAAGTGCCCAGTGGTCAAACCAAGGATTCAGGGGAATCAATGCAGATACCTCATAACTGCACTCTTTGTTCATTTTCAAATCACTGGCACTTTGATGTTTCATTGTTCTTAATTAGTACTGTTCTATAGTTTATAACCCTCTAGTCAGTTTATACTTGTAAATTTATTTTGATTCTGTTCTTCTTTATATACACCAATGAACCAAATTATAATGACCACCCCCCATGTGAAGTGTACAATGTTGACTATCTTATAGAAGCTCTGGGTATAAAGGTCTAGTATTTATTAGACGTTAAGCTAACATTTGGTACTTATAGTAGACATGTTGAATGTAGAAGAAATAGGCAGGGGATGAAGATGTGAGTGACTTCGACAAGGGTCTAATCATGGCCACACTATCTCTGAAGCTGCTAGCCTTGTGGAGTACTCATGGTCAGCAGTGGTGAGTATCTATGGAGGGTGGTCCGAGGAGGGAAAAACCACAATCTGCCAACAGGGTGTTGGGCGGCCAAGACTCATTAATGTGAGAAGCACTGCAGGAAATGAGGTACCAGGGCTGCTGCTATCTGCTGTTTACTTCCTGTATGAATGCTGCAAGTATTGTACCTACATACTTGGAGCAAAGTCATTTAAAGGAGGCAATTGCCACCAGCATGGGTGCATCTTCTCTCTCTTTCTCTCTTCTTCTCCTGTTTGTGATTTTCCATGGATAGGGTATGAAGGTGCTGCCGTGATTGGAGGACAGTATGATATGAGGGGGCTAGAGGTGACATCCCTGTTATTTGCAGATGCTTTTGGCCTCATGCATACAGGCACTCCTGTACGCACTCAAGTGTTTCGATGTCGTGTGAGGTGGGGTGAATGGGACCTCCAAGTATGAGGTCATGGTGTTCTTTCGAGAAATAGCACCTTTTATTCGAGAGGGCAGTGTCTGTGGTTTCAGTATTTCAGGAGGACGATCAGTTTGGTGGCTGCAGTTTTGCAGACACTAAGCAGGTTTGTGGCCAGAGTGGGAGCTTTGAAGTTGACCACTTAACCTAAATGACTTTCCTCACCTATGGTCATGACCTGTGGGTAATGATGGAGTATGAGCAGCTGAGATGAGGTTTCTCTTCACGGTTTCCTGGCTCATTCTGCTTAACAAGATAAGGAGTTCAGGGATTCAGAAGATCTTTCAATCCGAAGGAGCAGCAGCTCTATTTAGAGTCAGCTGAGGTTCAGGCATTTCTTAATGATGCCACCTAGTTGGTTCCTGAGGGAGCAGTGTGCAGTGGCCCTGGGGCAGACAGGTTCAGGATCTGTATCCATGTCGTCTGACCTGCTTGTCATGCTGCTACCACAGCCCTCACCAGGAGAAGTAATATAATGATGGTTATGATATGATATTATATGGCAATATAGAGATTGTGTACATAGATGGACTTAAAAATAAGTATTGAAGATCTATAGCATGTTGTATACTGTATCTGTACCGTCATTTTCCTAGCTGGTTAAGTGCTTTGCCAGGTTCACCACATGCTGCAACCAGGCTCATCCAAGTTGTTTTACCAAGAAAAAAAAAAAGTAGCTGAAACACCCCAAAAAAATACTGTCTGAACAAAGATGTTTTGAAATCTGCAGTAGAACTGGAAATTGTTCAAGATGAAGTCTTATTGTCAGGGTTGCAAAATAGGGAAGAGGATCCCCCATTGCCGTCCGAATGTTCTTGACTTCACAAGACATGATTCTGTTTTTTGTGATGTCCTCATTAGTGACCTAGCCTCTTTCTTTACCTCATTTTATTTGAAGACACTTTTTATTAGGTTTTAACCCTAAGAATACCAGGATGTTTAATAAAGTGCCACACAAATACTTTTTCTTGGTTCTTTACATTACTTCACCTGTTGCCTACACTGTTTTGCTCACTCTGTGCATATTCTGGCACCCCATACATAGCAAGTCAGCATGTCTTAGATAAGTATCTGAAATGACTGTTGCCCTCATTTCAAGGTTTATGAATGGCAATTAAGTGGCCGTGTGTGAACTGAGGTTTAATAATCTTAAAATGAGCTCTGTTGAGACTTCCCATAATCAGACACTAGATGCAGAATAAATTAGTTTAATGGTGTCTTACTTTGTGTTGTAATTAAAAGTAGTTTAAAGCAAAAAGTTGTGAGGCCGAGTCAGCCCAAAGCAAGACTGCCAATCCAGACATACCTATTTCTTTCACCATTGGATGCAGACAGTTAAGATAATTATCATTAGTAAATATTAATGTGCACATCTAGGGTAGGAAGGGTTTATTTTTAGAAAGTCCTCTGCTGATGGATTATGATTCGGAGGAAGCCTGTGTGGGAGACTTTGGAATGACTTTGAATCCTTAAGAATATAAATTTAACTTACTCCAAGGCCAAAATGCTTTTTGGCTTTTTATACTTGGGTACCAGATTCCAGCAGCGGCGCACAGCCAGCGAGAGCAGCTGGCTGCTTGTAAATATGTGAGTCTAACATGACCTCGAAAGAGAACAGCCGTATTCTACCAATCTTCTGTGGGTGTCCTATCTTTATAGTGTGAAGAGACCCAAATTAGGCTTCTGCTTTACATATTTTTTGGTGTTTTGTTTGTCCTGTTGACATGCTTTGGTTACATTTACATTTAATTACCAGATCCAAAGCTACATGCACTGCCCGGACAAAAAAAATGTCGCCATTTGAATTTTTCGTTGGACCACCTTTAGCTTTGATTATGGCGCACATTTGTCATGGCATTGTTTCCACAAGCTTATGCAACATCTCACCCTTTATTTTCATCCAGATTTGCATTAATTTCTCACCGAGATCCTGTATTGACAAGTGAGTTGAACCTCTCCATAAAGCCTCCTTCATCACATCCCAGAGACCTTCAATGAGGTTAAGGTCACAACTCTGCATGACTCCTCATGCTCCCTGAACCACTCTTTGACAATTCAAACCCAATGAATCTTGGCATTCTTATCCTGGAATATGCCCATGCCAACAGAGAAGAAAAAAAATTCCATTGATGATGGATGGAGGTGTAACCTGGCCATTCAGTAGATTCAGGTAATCCGCTGACTTCACTTTATTGCTGCATAACGTTGCTGAGCTGTAATAATGATCCAGTCATTGGCTCTTGAGTATTTGCTGATATAAATTCAAATGGCGACTTTTTTTTTGGCCGGGCAGTGTACATCTTCCATCATGATGTCGTCTTAGCTCTTCTTGGACCGCCACTGCACTATCTCTCCTCACCATTCTGTCCACCGCGCACACAAACGCGCCCACACACCCCTCCTTCGTCTGTCCTTTCAGGGCCAGGCGTTCTCTGCTCCACTCCCCATTGTGCTTTGAAGCCTCATTTTCCCTCTGAAGGCTTTGTTGCATTGTGTCATTCTGTTCCCCAAAGGTAGGAATGTCTCAATTAGGCTGTTAGCTGTTGGTAAAATGACTTCAGAAGCCAGGGTACCTTTGCCGATGCTGTCGCCTTCAGTGAGAAACAGCTCCCTATTGATTTTTCTCATTTTCTCCTGAGAATCTGCCCTCACTGATGTCCTTCCTTATGCTGCTGTACACCAAAGATATGAAGAACATGCCATTGTTTGATCATGCAACTTACTTATGGGCAGACTCCATAGCCTGCATATAGCTTTTGACGTATCTCTGGAGTCATTGATACCATGTATTCATCACTCCATCTTCCATAACCGCTTTTACAGTGTAGGGTAACAGCTAGATACTGGTGGCCTGAGCCAAGGCAGGATAGGATGCTAATCATCATAGGGCATGCATTCAGGCATCACACGGTATGGACTCTCCAAAGATACCAGGAGGAAACCCTTACAGCCTCCACACACAGGCTGACCCTCATTGGTTTCATAATTTTAAAAATGCTTTTGGTAAAGTAATAGTTTGCAGGCATATTAAATCTATAGTGCAATAACAGGGAATTACTTTAAGGATTTTGCACGTCACTATTTACTTGAATGCTTCTTGCTGTGTTGAAGGCAACAACCTTAAACAAGCTATACTGTTTACAAACAATGCTGCTCATATTTTAATCACATTCATGCAGGATTTCCTAAGAATTTTATTTATTTTTTTTCTCCTCTGGCAGTGGTGGTTCTAAACCTTGCTCTATGAATTTTTTATTTGTTACTTTAACATTGCACTGCTTGTTTCTACAAACCATAGGTTCGCATTATAAAATTCAAGCATGACAGGCCACCACGTCCTTAAGGAGAAAAATGTGATATTTTGCATTTATGGTGTGTGTTATGTTGGGGCTTGATTTATATTACTGCTTGTTTGCCATATTTCACAGGAATTTTTTCAGTAACTGATTTCTTATAATCTTTTTGGAACTATTCACTGCTTTTAGTGCTAGCAATTGCTACAGTTTCTGTGGATTCCTATTCTGCTGTTATTTGTAAATTAGTTATAGATTCAGCTCTTTAGAACATGCTGAGTTTGTGAATGCCCATGACACTCGATCTAAAATGTATCTTCCCACCTACTATTTGTTGTAATCTAACTCTTCAGTCAATAATAGGTGCGGTGATCCGATTAGGCAGAGTACAGATGAAATCCACCACACATGCTTGTAGTAAGGATGATTTAGAATTACCAAATCCTCTGAAAGCCTACACTTAGCATGCATGGCATTAAAATGTGTCACTGTGCAGTGCCGCAAAAATATCTTGAGTTATTTCTGTTAACAAGTTGTCCAAACAGTATGTAAAGGTGGATGTAAGGCGATTTAAATGAGATGTACTCAAGACTCTTTGTTTTTATATTTATCCCGTTAAGAAAAGATTACGTTAATTCCTAATGATCACCAGTCAGCAGTGTGATGCATTTGATATAACTATAAGTAACGCTTGATTGCAGGTCACTGTGGGAAAACCTTTGCCATCCTGAAGAGGTTTCTGAGTGACAGTGTGCCCCAGACCGACTGGCTGCTGATTGTGGATGACGACACGCTCATCAGGTAGATTCACCTTGTTTGTTGGATCTTTTTTTTTTTTCCCCCAGACACATTTATGCTAAGAAACGCATTTCACTGGTCATCATACTGAGCATAACTCTGTGCGTGAAACTTGAAATTATCTCAGATGTAAATAATAAGATTGCGCTAATTAATGAAATTAACATATTTATTGGCTTATGACTAACACATTAAACACTAGGCGAATTCCTCTCCCAAAAATCCAGAACCATGATCAGGATCAGTGTTGGAATGATAAAGGGATGGATGATTATGAGGCTGAACAGAAACCTGTATACCACTGACCACCAGAGGCAGCACTGGGGTAGCATATGGCAGTAAACCAGGCTTTTTTCGGGTCTCCACAGCCTCCCTAGATTACGGGCCCTTCTGAGCTGCTACCGGTCCAGCGAGGCCGTGTGCCTGGGGGAGAGGTACGGCTACGGTCTGAGCCAGGGAGGCTACAGCTACATCACCGGAGGTGGGGGGTGAGTAGCAGCGAGAGCATATGGATACGATGAGCCCCACCCGTCTCTGGGGGCTCACAGCAAGCTGTCTTTCCCTCTATATCCCTGTCAGCTCTTAACAACCCCACAGATATAAGGGCGTAATTCAAACACTGCTGAAAAAGTATTAGGCGTGCAGTCAGGCTGCTTGGCACAGGGAATCTAAAGCCTACCATGGGTGTCTGAGTTATTTTTACAGACACGCAGCCTTGTCGTCTTTCGTAGTACAGAGAGAAAGTCGCCGCAGCCAGACTCGCTCTTGGGCTCACATTTCAGCTTGTCATATTTCCTGCTATTGTTCTGTCTTTTTGCTGTGGATCACAGAACTTAAGCAAAGCCTGAGAAGCCCGAATAAAATGCTTCTTATCGCTTGTGAATTGCCTGAGGTTCCTGAGCTGAGGTCTGGAAAAGAACTCTGAAGGAGAAGTGCCATGAAGTGTGGCAAAAGAGTGGAACTGAAGAGCGACAGGAGATCACGCGAAAAGGAAATCAGAGGGCCGCTCGTTTGGCATAACCTCGTTAACTATGCACCCCCGCTTCGTTTATTTCACAGTGACAAAGTTTATGTAGTTTCAGAACTGAAAGATCAGACCTGATTTGCTGTGTATTTGACTCTGGGCTGTATTTTGTGCTGGAAGCCCCAAGCTGCTGCTCCAGGCTATTGACAGGGGGTGACCGAGTTTCATGGTTCCTCATCCATGGATAATAGCAGCAGTTGTACGCTTTGAACATAGGCAGCGTCTTAACCTCTGTTCCACTGTAATGTCCCAGGATGGTGTTCAGCAGAGAGGCTGTGACCAAGCTGCAGGGAAGTGGCTGCAGGTGTTACAGTGACGACGCCCCGGATGACATGGTGCTGGGCATGTGCCTCAGTGCCCTGGGGCTGCCAGTCACTCACAGCCCCCTCTTCCATCAGGTACGTACCATCTCCCAGCCTGGGGCGAAACCTCCGGGCATGCGCCGGAGAAATGCTTCTCACCCTGTGAAAACAGAGCTGCTGCAGTGGCCTGCCAGACGAGCATCAGAAGTTACTCTACATAACATGGAGAAATTCCCTGCCTGAAATTGCCATAAGTTAGCACCCCCTCCAGATGATCCTCAGTTCACATGTGGAAATTGCGTGACCCGGAGATTCCATTAACGTTTTTCTAGTGCTGTCTGGTGTAAACGCACTGTATAATATCACATTTATATGTGAACGGACAAGATATAACTCTGTATTATATATGCTTTTATCAGAATAAATCAGGCTAATAGGGTTCAGAATATCTCTAGGCTCAAAGCTGAGATCTTACTCAGCTAGCTTCTCACTAAGACTTAACAAGCATGTTTCCTCTTCCCAGGCTCGCCCTGAAGATTATGCAAAAGACTACCTGGCTCACCAAGTTCCCATTTCTTTTCACAAACACTGGAATATTGACCCAGTTGAAGTCTTCCACAAGTGGCTGGTGGATGATAAAAGGGACAAAAACTCCAAGCAGGCACAAGAGGGCGGTAGAGAGGAGCTATAGACTATGGTATGGATGACTGGTAACCTGGTGCTCTTGCCCTGGGTGTGAATAATGAATTTTAAGTCTGTGTGTGTGTGTGGGTGGGTGAGTGGGTGGATGACTGTGAATAAACTGTGTGTACAATGTTTATGAAGTTGAGCAAAAGTGTTACAATTCACTGGTGTAAATATTCAATAAATGTTGTCCTCTCCAACTCTTATGGGTATGTACTTGAGCTTGTGTTTAGCAGTTATAGTCAGTTTAATGAATGATCACAATTTTTATATCAGTTATTTGTTTAAAAACGTTTTCTTGCAATAATATTTATAATAAAAACAAGTGAGATTCCATGTAAAAATGTACACTCAGGTATTTCTGCTGTGTTGTAAAAGGATGTAAGACATGGTCAAAGCTGTACAACATTACTATGCAGTGAAAGAGCTGCTCAAGGTTCATTTTTGCACTGAATTATTTGTTTATTATTTGCATGAGAAACTATTGTTCGGGCTGTTGAACTCGTAGAGTCAAACCAACAAACCTTTTTTCCCCCAGTTCAGTAGCCAATAAGAGAAATTTCATCTGAAGCATGACTAAAATGTGATTTGCATTGATCAGTCATAACTGCATTATCTGCAGTTAAAACCACTGACAGGTGAAGTGAAAAACATTGTGTATCTCATTAAAATGGTACCTGTCAAGGATGCCATTATGTATTAGGCAAGTGAACAGTCACGTGTTACGTGTATCAGAACAATGGGCACGTGAACATCAGAACTGGGCCATGGAGCAGTGTAAGAGTGTCTTGGTCTGAGTTGCATTATCTTACATCATTGTGTTGTTTACCTGGGGAAGAGATGGCACCAGGATGCACTATGGGAAGAACGCAAACTGATGAGGCAGTGTGATGCTCTGGGAAATGTTGGGAAACACCCAAGAAACCTTGGGTCTTGGCATCTAGGTACCACCTACTTAAACATTGTTGCAGAAGAGTATGCCCCTTCAGGGTAATGGTAATTCCCTGATGCCAGTGGCCTCTTGTAGAAGGATTATCTTCCCTACCATGCTGCAAAAACTTCCAAGAATGGTTTGAGGAACATGGAAAATTAGTTTAAAGTGTTGACTTAGTCTTGAAATTCTTCAATCTGATCGAGAATTTGTGGGATGTGCTGGACAAACAAGCCTGATCCATGGAAGCCCAACCTTGCAGCTTGCGTGACTTAAAGGATCTGCTGTTGATGTCTTGGTGTTAGATATGACACGACACCTTCAAAGGTCTTGTGGAGACCATGCCTCAATGGGTCAGGGCTGTTTTGGTGGCACGAGGGGGACCTACACAGTATTAGGCAGGTGGTTTTAATGTTAGGAGCGATCAGTGTAATATCATAATATCATTAATGTGTAAGTTTGGCTTGAAATGCAAGTCTGAAATGAAAAAGTATTTCAGCAGTTGCTGCATCATCCATGCCAATCTTGGATTGAAATGTAGGTTACTGTAGTAGCCTGCAGTAGTTTACAATGACAAAAGAAATGTGTCCCAATATGTCGATTGCATTTAGCTGTACTGATTTGTTTATAATCTGGCTGGTTTTCACTGATTCACCAAAAGGGATGTTGGCATTTTAAATAGCAGCCTAAGCTTGGGAAAAGTTTACATTTGCAAGTTGGAAATCACATTAGAGGAGAGGCTGCTACGCGTGGGGAAATTTTAAGTCCAGAAGCAGGGAAACGCCATAGCAACTTTTAAGGAAGGTTAATAACTTTCTGTAATTCTGGAAGAGTTACCAGATTCCATGGCGGAGGCCCAGCTTGCAATATAAAATAGCTTAATCACACCTGCCATGTTGTTATACAGCTCTGTTGGAGTGTAATTAGCTAGTTTTTAAAGCACCACAAACAAGCCAAATTTCCATATCAGATACGAGACGAGTGGACTCTGACAGATTGAAAGGCGGAAGTGTCTTTTGAAGCGGACCTGTTTGTTCATGCACATGAGAAATTGTGAAAACTAAATGGAGGGGGGAGTTGGCTCCCCTAGAAAAGTTTGCCACACAGGCCCAGGAAAAACCTTGTGTGAATGCAAATAAGCAGATCATATGTGAAACTATGTGGAATGTAAATGAATCATTTAAAGAACTTCAATGGCTGCTGATATATTGTTCTGGCATATGAGGACATATGAGCAGATATGAAAGGCATGTGGCAAAAATCTTTTTTTTTCTGCTCTGCACTGAATCTGGTTGGTCATTGTTTACCTTATTTGTTGAGCTACAATGCCTAAAAATGCCGTTCCTCTTCCCTCTCCAACAGTAAGCATATATAAATGTTTTACATATTGTATTTATATATTGTATCTAGCAGTCTTGTGTTATGAAGTATGGTGGACAATTTTTATGTACTTAGAATTGGCCAGTGAAGGCAGAGGATTTTTTTTAATCCCTAAAGAAAAAATTGAATTCCTTTTTTTTTTGTAGTTTTTTTTTTTTTTTCCCCAGTTCAGGATATTTCATTTTTGCTTCTTCTAATGTCACGTCAATCATGACTTAGAGAGATTCAATTTTTTATTTTTTTGGGGTAAAGAAGTGCTCTGCCTCTCATCCCTCTGCCTCGTCTGCCTAAAAAAGAATCTCAGCAGGATTGCAAGGACTGAAGAGTCACACCGGCCCACTGGTCCATTGTGTTGGTGGCTGCATTTAACTCGTGACCAGAGAAAGCCTGAGCTTACATTTGTGGAGCTCATACACCAGAAAAATTATCTACTGAATAAGAATCGTGAGGTTGCTTAATTCCAAATCACATGTTTAACCTGTGCTATTTAACATGCTGTAAAAAGATTTTTTTAAAAAACGCAATATTATTTTTTCACTAGATGCTTTTAGTGGAGAAAATCAGATGAAATACTTTCTTCAGCTCAAGTCCTATATTTCTCTTTCTAGTAAAATGCCAAGATTTTATATTTCAATATAGATATTTAAAAAATTCAAACACTCCAGTCTGCCTGGGTTTGTTGTAGTAACATGCCTCCAGTGCTGGTATATAAGGTCGTGCTCCCCTACAGTGGCTGTACAGGAATCAAACCTATGATTGCAAATGTTTCAGATGTGTGGAAAAGAATCGAGAATTCTTATCAATCAATACTCACTATACTTTGTTCCAGAGATGTGATGTTTTATATGAATTTTGTCAACTTTTGCTTTGCCAAGTACTTACTGAATTTTTTTTCTCTTTTCGCCGTTTGCCTTACTTCTGATAGTCTAAGCGGGCTAAGATGCTGTGCTGTAATTAGATGGTCACCAGTTCAAATCCCATGTCAGTAGGGTGATTTTACAGTTGGGCCCTTGAGCAAACCCCATAACCCCAATTGCACTAATGTAGCTTAGGGATCCTGAACAAAGCTTTGCTCCCCTATCAACAAAACTGGTCATTTCACTTCCTTCTCAATGCAGGTAATTTGGTGGCCTTAGGTAAGTGCCTATTCTGTCTATAGCTAAAGCTAGCCCTGCTCCAAAGCAAGTGTATGATGCTTTGGATACAAGCATTTTGAGTTTGAGTGGACAGAGAATACAGCACAACAAGAGTATATAGTTTGTAAGCTATTAACACAGGAGGGCTTTTAAATACCCTTTAAGACCTCTAATGACTCGTGAGTAGCGGGGTAAGAGTAGGAGTTTGGTTTTGGATTCAAACACTGGTGATTATCTGAATGGAACAAACCGCCCACATTTACAAGTCAATGAAATAATGCTGTTATGATGTAGCTGCTAAAATGATTCAAACTGGTTTCAAAGTACTGAAGCTTTTTTCATTATTTGATGGTATAACCTGTTGGAATTTCTTAATTACATCTCAGGGATGTTCTGTGCCACAAACTGAAATTATGTGTAATTCCGGGACATCAAAAAAAAGCCAATATTTCCAGAGAAATCTCTTTAAAAATCTACTAATGCAGCACACTGATATGCACAATTCAAATTCATTTCAAATTAGTTTTAGAAGAGTACATGTTCCCAAGAGATTGTCAAATGTATTCAGAATCCAAAGCTGCAAATTGAAGAGCTGCAAGTTTAAAATTTAAAACCTTCTGTCTTGTGAGGTTGGTCATGCTTTGCCAAATCAGTCAGTGTGAAATTAGACTTCACAGTTCCTGCCCATTCTTTGGTCTGATTAATTTTGATGCCAGGCAAGAGTGATTGAAACACTGTCTTCAAAATGTGAACACAGCTGTTTTTCATCCAAGAGCAGCAGAGATGGGATCAGATTGTCTGATGAGTAATTGACAATTATAAAATGTATGCTTGTTTTTCTCTTGCCTTTGTCCAGATAGATGTCACTTTTGTCACCTACTTTTGTATTTTGATGAGCAAAGTTCAGTGTGGGATTTTAAATTACAACCAGATGACTGTCTTTTCTTCAGATGTCCATGTCCAGATCTTTTCATTTAGGCTACCTCTTTTGGGTCTGAATGTGAGGATGAAATCCATGGTGAAGAATGTGAAGTTTGCCTTTGAAACGGTTGCTTTGCCAAGGACAGCTGCTTTTTTACTACTGTTTGCAGTTTTTAAGAAACACTAATTATTACGGGCTGTAGGGAAGGTGTTCATTAACATGTAATAATTAAAATTACCCATCATATTCAAGGACATACATAATACACAGTATAAGGTGCAATAATTAAACTGTAATGGAATAATTGAAACTCAGTCTGCTCATTTATTTGAAAAACAAACAATTGGAAAATCTGTTATGTATCTCTAAGCTGGCTTTGATGTGTACTTTGTGTAACGTTGCAGTTACATTTTAAGCTCGTGTCTTTACCACAGCACTGCCAGCTGTTCTGTGGGCTTCTAATTGGCATAACAGACTTGCCTTTTGCTCATTTTCTGCTGGTTTTTCATACAACACAGCTTTAACTGACCATTTGGGATGTTTGTGATGAAGTACAAACCCACCAGACATTAAATCTCAAAATTAAGGAATTTGAAGCATGCGTAATGAAGAACTTTTAAATGAAGTGTCAAATTGAAATAAACATTTCATGAATAATTCTTGAAGTTTCGTTCCTTTCATACTTTTACTGTTCTGGTCATTTTCATACCTTTAATATGTTTCATTTTGAATTCTCATTATTGTGTTAAAATTTACTTTGTCGGTTTTATTTCCTACTAGACAGTGGAATTAAATGTCTCATGGTAACAATACCTGAGTGCAAACAATCATCTTTCATCTGTCCGTCTTGTAACTGCTTCTCCTGGTCAGGGTTAGGGTGATCTGCAATGATAGATCGCTTAACCAGGTTCTTGTGTGAATTATACAAGCGGAGTCCTTGTGTTTCATTACATTTGCCTATATGTTTATATCGTTACAGTGTCTGATATCAACATCTCAGCTAGGAATCATAGCATGGGTACGCTGGCAGAAAATCAGGTGAGCGTGTCCCATAATTTACTTGCCGACAAAATCACACTACAGACTCAGACTACAGACTACATAACATATAATTTTTTAAATGACATGACATTACTAATATAAAAGCACTTTTTAATTCTTTTATTACTAAGCAATTATTTTGTTACTCTAGTTGATCTAACCACACACGCGTACCTGTAACACAATTATTTTATCGTACTGTATCGCTCGCTGTCAATGCAGACTGGTTGGTCCTTCTGTGCTCCTGTGGTAGTTCGATATACCTCCCCGTTCCTGCCTTCAAAAACCCTGGTTTTCCATGGATCTGCTCACCATAACAAAGAAGCAAGTTTTTCCAGAAAGGTCACCACAATCAATTTAAACCAATTTCTGCCACAGATAGTGATCAGAATTATCTCTCGAACTACCTCTGTATTTCAAAGACGTTCATTTTTCTTCATCTTTATTTTTCATTTCAGTGTGGGATTTTAATATCTACATAATTTTTATCTGATTTTATCAGTAAATACAGTAATCAGCTAATTTATGATTTTACTTGACACTTTGAAACTAAGTTAATGAAAATTAATCTGAGCAAAAATTCACAAGAAAAACTTCTATATGTATAATGGTGTAGTTATAGCCTACAAACCTTCAATTAATATCTCATGAATATATTTGCAGACCTGCTGATACCACAGTTGTAACTAAACCAAATAGCTACAGTATGCTCATGAATCACTTCAATGCCTCATTCATTTTTCTATTAAATGTTTAATCAAAGCATCTTACCCAGTAAATAAGGATGAAACAAAGTGATTCATCAGCCTAAGTAGATTTATTCTCTTCTGTCTCAAATGTGTCAGACTATGAAATAAAGGTGTTGCTGATCTAAATGACAGAAGATCAGCCCCCTCTGCCGTATACCCAGATTTTGCAAACCTAGGGGGACGGAAGCAAATTTTGACTGAGATTCAAACAATGAAGTATATTTACTAGACCTGCTATCATATGACTGCAAGTACAATGATTTGACCGCCATATTGGAGAAGTCGAATCAGTCCTTCCCACCATGCTACATCTGGCTGCAGAAACAGGCGTGGATGCTGCTCCAGTGATATAACCTTGCGCCAGCTAGTGTGTTTTCTCATCATTGTATATCTTTGTATTAACAGTCGTGTGATATTGCCTTGCATAAATACATTTTGCAGTCTACGGAATAACACTGGGCTGTATACCCATTCATCCGGTATACTGGTTATAATTTCTCGTACAGTATGAATTTTTAATATGCTGCCAAATGGTAGCATAGCTGAAACGACAGCTGTGATTGTTAGAAAAATATTTTTATTACATTATATGTGTTTCATTCATTCTTTCTCTTCATGGCCAAACATTTCATAGATTAACAAATAAGATTACTTCTTACTTATGAAACTTGATATAGACGAATGGTATGATTTCATACATTACCACAAATGTTATTGCAAAATGAAATTGCCAACCTTCATTTTACGAAGTGATATTTCAGATCTTCATCGTTCTCCATCAATATGCAGAAATACTATAATATTTGCAGTTAAGTTCTTAAAGCTAATTCACAACTCACAGCATGAAAATCACTACAAAAAAAAAATCAAATATGTGAACATGCAACTCAAAACAAATTTGAATATGCTATATGGACAAAAGTTTTGGGACACCTGGGGCCTCATGTATAAACGGTGCTTACGCACAAAAATGTTGC